AAATTACTGGGTTTTTGCTGTTTAGGTGATTCTTTGGGTTGTATAATTGTTTTTATTGGATTGGCTTTAATTTGAGCCTCTATGTCAAAATCATCTAAATTGTCATCGAGATTTTTTACCGAGCTGTGAGGCGACTGTGGGGGTGATTCAACTTTTACGTTACTTTCATAGCTGTTTTCCGGGTCTTCATTTTCGCTTGTTTCGTTGTCATTCATTTCAGTAATCTGTACTTTTCCAGTACTTGTATCGGAATTGTATTCTTTGTCATCAAGTTCATCACTATTATAGTCATGATCTTCGTCATCTTCATCCTGTGAATGTTCTTTGTAATTTGCGTTGAATGAGTTTTTGGGTTTGATAGTGACATGTTTTAAATTATTTATTGTCTTCTGTAGATTTTTTTGCTCTTCTGTCAATTTATTACTATTGTTTGTGATATTAGTGCTTTTTGATTCAATAGATCGGGTTACACTCATTTTTCTACACTCTTGCCCATCTTTTGTTAGTACTTCAGTACATTTAGTGCTTTGTTGACTCATTGATTTAACCGTAACATTTTTGTTTAAACCACGCAACGCTGCAGGTGGTGAAATTTTCGTCACCGTTGGTTTATTACTAACACGATTTGTAATATTCGTAGCATTTTGTTTCCACTTCGTTGGATGATCAATATCTGCATCACTATCTGAGTCATCTATGTGTAAAACTTCAACATCATTTTCCATCGTACGTTTAATTATATTTTTCGGCGTTTTAGAAATATCTGTTCGTGAAGGTATATTGGTTGCAGTTTTAGAGGATACTGCTTTTGCAGTGACATTTGTCAACCTTTTTAAGATATCTGCATTACTTTGAATAACACTTTCTTGTTTCTGCGGCATTTCACTTTTTATTAAAACTTGGGTATCACTGTGGGATTGTATGTTATCATCTTCAGCAGTATTATCATCTTTATTTTCTTCTTCATCTGTCATGTGATGATTATTTGATGATGGGGATGAACTGCTGAAAGATTTAACTGTTGGCTGTTGGCTCAGTCCTTTCAAAGCAATTATAGGTTTTTCGAGTGTAGTTTCATCTTTCGGATGTTCATTTTCTGGATCGCTAAGTTGGGTTGATGGTGGCAAAATTTTACTTCTTAAAACAGGTTTAATAGTTATACCCTTGTTTAAATTAAGAGATTGTAATGTATTTGTTTTTATACTACTATCAGAATCAATTGGCTCTTCGTCAATGTCATCTTCAGGGTTGTCTTCAATTGTCTCTTCCTCGTTATCTTCTGCTTTTTCTTTAACTACGTCAATACAATCCTCTTTATTTTTACAACTTATTTCTGATAAAGTCTTTATGGTTACTCCATGGCCAATGTTTTGAAATGCTTTTGAAGGTAAATTTTGCTCTGGTGTTTTAGGGAGAGAAATATATTCTTCATCCATTGGTTGCAAATTAGGCGTTTTAGAGGATGGTGCTGTTATTTTTATAACTTGTTCAGGTTCTTTTTCATCTTTAGGTTCATTCTCTGGGCTTAAAGGCTTGTTAAAATTTGCTACTGTACTATTTTTACCTTCTTCGTTTTCTGGATTCGTTACTGCTTCTTTATAATCTTCTTCAGTTGTCATTATAGTATTATCATAATCTGAAGATGAATCTATTTTACTAGATTGGTAACTGTCTTGTTTGTTTTCAGAAGTTTGTTTAATAGAGGTTTTTACTATTTTGATTTGACTATTTCCTTGGCCCATTAATTTAGAAATAACTTCATTTGCATCTATTGAGGTTTGAGTCTTTTCATTAGTGTTTATATTCGCGTTTATAGTATTTGTTTTATTAATAATTGCAGTAGAAGTATTAGGAACTACATTATTTGAGTTTGATTTAATGACGATTCCATGCTTTTTTAGTTTAGCTAAGTCTTTCTTTACTTTATTTGTAACATTGATTTCGGGATTCTTAGTTTTATATTTCCTTTTTAAAACCATTTGGGTAGGAACTTCTTCAATACCTTGAACATTCAATCCATCACCAAACACATCTTTATTCATATTTAGGAACTCATCTAATGTAATTGTTTCCTTCTTTGACTTTTTATGCTTCTTGTGTTTCTTTGCTTTAACTTTAGGTTCACCTGATTCATCCATACACATTTGAAGAAAATTATCCTGTAAGTAAAATGAGTGTTATTAGTAAATAGCAGCAAGATAACTTCATATAAATTGTAATCAAAATACATACAACAGAGTGATTTGCATCTTCTACTTTTTCCATAAGAGGTGGAACAGCCTCAAGAGAAAATTCAGTTATTTCAGCTACCCTGTAAAAAAATCCTATTAATATGAAACATTTATATAAATGTTTAATGGTATACTAATAATATTTATAGAAAGGAAAAAAAATACATTTCATTAGGTTCGCTATAGACATCTTCAGTTGAATGAAAAGTCAAATGCAACTCATATGCATCTAAATGATAAAGTATTGCTTCACAAACTGGGCACCGCAGGATATCTTCAGGTGATTGATTTTCATCTGCATGATCATCTTCCATATGTTTCTGAAAATATAACAACTAATAACTTAAAAGAATATGCAAGTCATTATAATCATGCTAATTTATAAAAATACAACTAAACTTTAATAAAATCAGTACTATTTAAGTTAAATCAAAATTAAATAGTTCAAAGTGAACTGATAAATTTAGTTATGCACAACAATCTCCATTCCAACCCTATAATAAAAAAATATTTTTACTTCTGATGAATAATGAGCATTACGTGAGAATGTGAATGGTTTAGAAGTGACTATTTATAATTATTAATTTGTTATTAAATTGTCTTACATATAAGAAAGATAAAATTTTAATACTTACATCTAAATTTACTTTATTATTGTACTCTTCTCCACAGAATGGACAGTAGAGAATTGACACCAACTCCTATAAATTTAACAAAAGTTAAAAAGTAACAGACACAAAATAAACCTTCACGGTAAATTTTGGTATCTTAATAAACATTTAAAAACAATAATTATTCTCATTGTTTTATATAGTAGAATATTAAACAAATTACTGATCAAATAAAATATATTTTAGATTATGTCATACCTGATTAAACAATTTAACTTTTTTAGATGAGCCTAGAGTGTTCATTTCAATGTCTTGTCTATGAAAGAATTTGTTGTGATGTAGCATAGCGGATGGGACAAAAAAATAAACACTACAACTGTCACAATGATAGTCTTTCACTTCACAATTTGTTTGACCATTGTGGCTGGTCTTTATGTGTTTATTGTATAAATGCTGAAAAAATAATTATAATGATTATACTATAGTAATTATGATTGTGTTTCTGCTGTGCCTATTCTGTTGTGTATATGTCTTAGTATTTTTTAATAAATCAATATGGTTTTTCTGTGAATATAGGTATTGAATTTAAATGATTAAAATACTTCCTAACAGTAAGTATTTTAATAAAGAGCAGAGTTATTTCTGTTCTGCACAGCTATTATTATGCTAATACTGTATAATAAAAGCTAAATAAGTATGCCAACCTTCATAGTAAAAAGCTTTCCGCACCATGGACAGAAATATTTAGTGTCATGGTCTGGGTGCATTTTATGTTTGTGTGTGATTGCCTTTGATATTGTTGGGAAAAGCTCTTCACACACATCACAACCAATAAGCTCACTTTCTTCAGATTTTTCGGTAGATGTGGGGACTTCATTTTGAAATTTTGATTTGTTAAACTCTGGATCACCATGTTTTCTGAAAATTCATCAGTTTTTGTTTCATCAATTTGTTATATGTATAATTATAATTTTACGGAAATAATTCCACCCCCTCTCTTATAATATAGTAGAACTAGATGTTTGTGTATCTTCTCTTGTTGTGAGGAGCTCCTTTAACGAAATGAAACTGTATACCTGAAATGTTCCTGAAGTAATTCTTTGTCATTAAATGCTGCACTGCAGAAAATACATTTAAAGTTTTCTACACTTGTCATTATGATAAAACAGATCTTGAACAGAACTTTGTTGGTGTTGTCTTCGCTATAACTTATGTATATTGTGTCAATAAAAAGCCATCATTTCCCCACTATTTTCTACATTTCGGTTTTCGATACCCTCTATGATACTAAACGATTAATTGAAATCAATCTTAATCGCATCACTTTAATACTTAGCTATTTAATCTTAACAGTAAGCCCAAAACACCAATTTTTTTAACAGAGTACAGACTACAGAGCATATTCAGCATACTAAGTGGCAAGTGCGGTACGGTACTCGGTAGTGTTAAGTCATAAGTGTAGTACTAGCAAGACTGCGAGTCAGCATGACAGATGACTACGATTTTTTTTTTTGAGATTATGGCCTGGGGCCTTAGTCAAGATGCCTTAACAGTAGTGTATGTAGAACGTCAAAAACTAAATTTGTATGAAAACTTTTCGACACGAAGTGTCATTTCCATACAAATTAAGTTTTTGACTTTCTACATACACTACTGTTAAGGCATCTTGACTAAGGCCCCTGGTATCAAGACCTACAGATGACTACGTTGGTCGTTCGTAGACGTAAACAGATAATAAGATCTAAATTGTTATTAAATATTAAGCAATAATATATTATGTATTGTGAATATTAGACATCAGATAACATATATTATAAAAAATAAACTCCTCTGGTCTAGCCAACACATGAGAGTTTCGACTAATATTAGCAGCAATTTATGCATTTTAAAATACTTCAATTTATTAGGAATTTATTGTATGGATTGTGATGGACTCAATCACACATTATTATAGACGATTAACTACTACTACTTATTTTTCCTACTAACTAAATAAGCTTCAATATAGCATTTCCAACGTGCGACAATCGTGCTGATTAGATCTACATAACCTTGAAGCTAACTTTTTGTATAAATTCAATATTACAAAATACACAGAGCGACCTTCGTACTGATAGTACGCGTTTTACGTTTTTCGTAGAGGTTAGTTAAAAATAAAATGACAAAAATATTTCAATTAATTCAAATTCCGAAACGTCTGTATTCTGGATCGGCTAAAGGCAAAGTGATAGCAAAAAAATATGTATTAACCAAATATTTTCAAGGTGAGCCGAAGGCTAGTGATTTCAAAGTTGTTGAAGAAGAACTCCCGGATCTAAAAAATGGAGGTAGGTACATGCCATTACATTACATCTCTCTAGGTAATCGCTTTGGGAAATATAATATTAACACTTAAAGACTTAAATACTTGTAAATAAATGATTTTTGTTTATCAATCTTAATGTATTTTATATTGTATGTAATTGCTGCATAAATGCAACTTGATAAAGCGGCTCTAACCGTTTAAATAAAAATTTTCATTTGTACTTATTAAAAAATACTAAATGTTCATTAAGTAGTTTAAAATGTTAATATATATAGTACTTTTTGTAGGTCATAAATGCTATAATTATTAATGAGCAAAGTGATTTTTATTTCACTAGAGTGTATTATCGTAGTTTTTTTGTTAACTGTTTGCTTTTATGTCAATAGAACAAGTTAAATATTTTAAATATTGTTTTAATAGAAATATTGGCACAAGCCGAATACCTGAGCGTCGACCCATATATGCGAGCCTACATGATTGGTTATAAACTGCCGACTGACATGATTGGGAGCCAAGTGGCTAAGTAGGTATTGCCTTACGTATATTAAAGAAAAGGATTTTTAAAGAAGACTTTGTCGCCAACTCCATGGTTCAGTTGCTTAAGCTTTTGGTCGTATAAAATCTACAAAAAAAGCCCGTTGAGTTTGATTCCTGGCGAAGCAATTGGATTCGGGTGAATGGTTACCAATGTAAATAGTTTTGAGGATACCCTGTTTAACGTATACGCCGATGACATTTTTTAAAATTACTTTAATGCTTTGTTTAGGTATTCATAGACTTAACGTATCGACTCCCGATGTCAAATCGGTCTTTTTTATCGTTTTGTATCACCCATAGTCATTGACGTTATCAGATTTAAATAATAATTTAATTTTAGTCGATTTAAAAGCAGTTGTCTTATTTCATTATTGTGTCCTAAGTAGTATTCGAGTAAAATGGTGATATTCAGTGATCTATAGACCAACTGCTATTGAAGAAGGATAGCGCAAGAGCATTACCTTCCATAGCATACAGTCTGCGTGGCTTAGTGATTAACGTAAATGTCGTTATCCCTTCTGAGTTCGATTCTTGGTAAGATAATAATTGATGTAAGGCAGGCCAGAAGGCGTTACCCCGAAAAATGTATGGAACATGCCCCGAGTGGGTGTGGGACTTCCATAACACACCAATAGGTCAGACAGATTTCGTTGGGTATAACACGTGTAGTTTCAAGAGATGATTTCTTTCTGTATCTCCAACATTGACTACGGAATAAAGGTAAAATTTTAAAACAAGACTTCCGTACGTCTAAAATGTATTGGATTTTGACGTAAGGAGGTCATAGTTCGCGCTAAGTCTTGTTTCTGAATCACACCCTAAGATATTTAGGAGTAGGTAAATAATACAATTTTTCCTCGCAGAAGAAATGTTGTAATCCAAAAATTTCAGGGTAATAGAGAGTCGTAATGATAAATACCCAGTCGGTAGCTACGTGACAGATTCATTTGGATGGCGGACTCATACTATTTGCAATCCTGATGCTGTACGACCACAGGAAGTTATGCCTTTAACAAAGATTCCAAATGTCAAGCCTCATCCTGTGTCCTTAGCCCTCGGAGTTTTGGGAATGCCTGGGTGAGTTTGGAATTTCCATAGATAAATTCTAAATTCGATTTTGAAAAAAAAATTTTATATGTACGTTAGGCAAGGTTAGGTAATGGGTCCCCGTAACAAGTCGGAAAATGCATATATTATCTATATATTGCTGTTCCTTTTAGTCGATTAGGTACAATACTTTTTAAATAATTGAAATCGGCAAATTGGTTGCGAAGATATTACACATTTTGTACAAGCCAACCGTGGGGCGGCCGAAATGCTCATGTGACGTCACGATTTCCTACCGCCCGCGCGCTCGCTCTCCGCCATTCATTTATTAAAGTTTACTCGATCTGCGCGGGTCGTGTTGTGGTTTTGTTTTTTTTATGTGAAGATATGCCGCATTATAAATACTGTATAGTACTGAAAAACTGTTTTTTAATGTGCCAAGGGACCTGAAAGTGCGCAAAAAATGGTGTACTAAAGTAAATATAAAACATTTTTATCTTCTATAATGCGTTTATTGTAATCCCTATTAGAAAGTCTACAAAAAGAAATTATGTCTCAATTAGTTTGGGGTTTGCAACTGTATTATTTTTGTGCTGTTTTTACAAAAAATTAAATTGTATTTTTGTTTTGATTTCTTCGTCAAATCATTATTTTTTACAAAACCTTCTTTTCCTTTTTTGGTCATTGGACATTTTATCTCTACTACCTAGGATTGGCCACTCGGGTTTTAAAAATAGACCACAATTGACTATTACTGTGTTAGTTTAGCCACCACTGCTCTTACTTCTGGCTCCAGACGTTTTCCTCTTTCCATAGCGACTGTCTCCTGTATGGATGCCCCGAAAATCTGTTCAACTAAAATACCATCAGTCTTGCAGTTTGCAGCTTCGTGAATTTTTGACGCCGTTACTCTGCAGTATCTTAGTTCCCTCCACAATGGTGAATCAGCTTGCGATAATGTTGCTTCTTCTGCTTTGCTACAGTAATCTATAGTCATTCGATTTGAGCAGAAGTCAATAAAATGAGCTGCATCGTTTATATCTATACCCTCTTTTCTAAACTCACTTATTAATACATGTAATGACATTTTTTTAACGCGCTTTGTGGTACGCAATAGGCTGCCAGCTGGTTATGAATAGATTTTTCTTGTACTGTTTTTTTTACAGCTTCTACAAATTGACCTTTGACATAACTGCCATCTTGATTTTTTGGTGTGCCTGATCCCATATCTTTAGCCTTTATAAATTTTAAAGTGGTGCCCACCGTAGCTAATTTAGGCTTAGCCCAATAACATTTTTTTTCTGTTGGGGATGGTTCCTCGCTTCGTCTGTGAAGCCACTGTTTTGCTTTGACTGTGCATGTATCTCCTGTTCTTTGCACTTGAACAGATCCCACAGCTTCATCACCATATGATTCACGCCCTGACCTGAAAAAAAATATCGTAAGCGTTTAGAATACGTATACATTAGCGATCTCATTAGGATTGCTTGTTCAAACAATCGAAGGTAAACGAATAAAGTATACCTAAAGTAACGAATAAAGTTGCCGTTTAAGTGACGTTACGCTCCGTGTTGGACGAGTATCGCGAATAGAATAAACAGCGCGGGGCGCGCTGTGGATCGGCGGCAAGCGTTGAGATATTGTGATGTCATCGCTTGCATTCGCTCGGTCAGTAAACCTTGTTCGGTATTTTGCCCATAACTTTGTCAGTTTTGGTCGTAGAACAAAAATTTTTGCACTTTATGTTTTAGTTTCTCAAGGACTATAAAACTGCATTATAACATAAAACTATTACGTGTCCCCATTGTCGAATCTGACATTTAAACTTTTTTTTTACATATTTGGTTGGGGAAAAAGTTTCTTCGCATTTTTAAGAAAATTCACAACTTTTTTTTTTTACATTAAACTAAAGTATGTAGGTACCATTTTGTTCGATAACTTTTTGCCATCTTATATGTAGGGACATGATCCCATTGCTATAGAAATTTTGGGGCTTTGCCAAAACCAATTGTCGCGGTATTTTGATCAGAATCAAAATTGGTTTTGGCAGTCCCCTAGTGATGTTAAGGACCTATCTGGTCGCCAAACTCCAAAAAAGTACATTGTTTCTTTCCATTTTTCGTCATCGTTTCTTGAAGTAGGGCGAATGGAAAAAATATATGGTGGAGTTGAGTAATTTATGTATCCATTTTGAAAGATCGATACACGATTTAAATAACTTCGCTCGATAGAAAAATAATCCAAACATAGCCAATTTTTGACACTTTGAATTCATTTTATGACGAAAATATATATGGAACATGATTTTGAAATTTGCACGATATATTTTATAGCAAGCCAAGTAATCCATTTCAGAAAAAAAATGATAAAATTACATTAATTTAATGTTTTACATAACCAATTGTTATTACGGGCCGGCGCGCCTCAGTGCTGCAGCTCTCCACCGCGCCTTCAGTCCACCCCGAGACACTGACACAGCAATTCGTGCTGGGATAGGGCTTTATCCTGACCTGATGAGACCGAAACAGGTAAAATCTGAAGGTGCAAGGTCAGGACTATACGGCGGATGCATTAACACCTCCCAGCCAAGTTCTCTTAATTTTTGCTGAATGGCTAAAGATGTGTGAGATCTAGCGTTATCATGATGAAAAACCGCACCCCTTCTGTTGATTAATTCCGGCCGCTTTCTCTCAACTTCTTGATATAATCTCATCAGTTGTTCGCAGTAGAGTTCAGAATCGATGGTTCTGCCTGGTGGTAACAGCTCATAATGAATAATCCCACCACACACACAGCATCACCTTGTTGCGAGTTAACCCGGGTTTCGCCACAGTCTGTGGAGCCTGACCGGCATTTGACCACGATCTTTTTCGCACGTTCTTGTCGTACGTGATCCACTTTTCATCACCAGTTATCAGCTTCTTCAAAAATGGTTCGGTTCCATTACGTCGTAATAAAGAATCACAAATGAGTACACGGTTCATTAGGTTTCTTTCAGTGAGCTCGTGAGGTACCCAAATATCGAGCTTTTTTCTGTACCCAGTTTTTTTTCAAATGCGCCAAAACTGTTTTGTGGTAAATTCCCAGTTCTTCAGCTACGTCGTAACTACTGATATGCCGATCTTGCTCCACTTTTTCAAAAATGGCAACCATTTTATCCGTAGTCGGGCGACCAGAGCGACCTGCATCTTTGACATCAATATTTCCGGAATGAAACCGCTTAAACCAAATTTGTGCTACTCTCACAGACACTGCACTAGATCCATAAACATCGCAAATTTTTTTTGTTGTAAAATATTAAAATGAATCGAATTTCTTCATTAGATTCACTCATCTTGACGGTACGAAAAATAAATAAAAATCACACATTTTCCTAATTTGAATTTGGAATTATCTTCTTTAAAATTAAAACTTTTAATGATACCAGAACCAGCCAGATACAAATAGGTGACCGTCAGGTTGGCTGACCAAATTTGATATCGCAATCAAACTATACGCCATATTTCTCTACCTATTTGATACTATTTGCTACCTTCAAAGACGCATTTGCTACCTCTGCATTATAGAACATAATAAACAAATAAAGGGCCAGCCATTCTGACTTCAGGTTGGCTGACCACTATCATTTAATTGAGTTCTAAGAATCTTTGACCGATAGCGTTTTTATACATATTTACTACCTATTTTCTACCTGAGCAAACAAACTTTAAAATTAGTCTCAGAAGCCTATACATGTTTTTATTATTAATAAAGCCATGAGGGGTCTAAAAACGCCTACAAGAAAGGTTAAGTAAGAGTTCGGCACGTATAACTTATCACAACATTGCAGGCGCTTAGAGAAATATGGCGTATAGTTTGATTGCGATATCCAGTTTGGTCAGCCCACCTGACGGTCGCGAATACTAAGTTCCGGATCGAATGTACGATATAGAGATGATGGCATGGCAACAATAGTTCGAATTGGTGAAACCGTAGCAGACCGTGTGCATAACCCCAGCATAACTTTTTCGAATATCGCAATATGAGTTCGATAATTAGTACCTACTCTAGCTTCTGTAAATGCTCCTGAAAGAGATTTTACTACAAGTTCATACATACTGTAATGCGAAAAGACCTTTTCCCCAACCTATTATATGTTAACCTGGACTATATTATCTGTGGTGAAGAAACAGTTATTAGATAAATTAACATTTACATAATGACTTAAAGAAATAATTATTTAAATTAAATTGAATACCCAGGCGAAGAAACCTACAAATTATTGCTTTGTAATATTGTATTTATCAATTTAATATCTACTTAGCATAGTAATATGGTGTAATCTTGTACAGAATTATTAACTATTATTCACAGAAACACTGCCTACTTCGGCTTGAAAGAGATCTGCCAACCGAAATCAGGGGAGACAGTTGCGATAACCGGTGCAGCGGGTGCTGTGGGCTCGCATGTTGGTCAAATAGCAAAGATTTTAGGTGCGTTCTAACCCTAAGTCTGAATTACATATGTTATTTCTATTAGATCTTTCGGATAAGAAGCATACATATTGTCTGTCCCAGTGATAATTTAGCCAATTATTGTTTCATTTGATTTACTTTTTTGTTGTTGATATTTTTAGACTACCTTGAATAAAACAAAACTTCATTTGAACAGGTTTTGTGAGCAGTTAATTTAAGTTTCTGTTGCACAGACAGATTTTTTAAAGCTTTATATACTATGATTGTTTCTAAGGGTATCAAATTCCCATGCATCTTAAAATAATTAAGTATATATGTAATAAGAAAAGAGCGTACTTGATTCGGAAAAGGCTGGCATGAGCATGCATGAGCTACCTAGTCCGATTATTAAAAAAACTAAATTTTCTTAATGCAGGTTGTAAAGTGATTGGTTTCGCGGGATCTGATGCAAAATGCGACTATTTGGTCAAAGAGCTCGGTTTTGATCACGCTTTTAATTACAAGACAGCAGATATCAAGGCGGCACTGAGACAGGCAGCTCCTAACAGAGTAGATTGTTATTTTGATAACGTACGTAATTATTATAATATATTACAACTATGTTATGTTTCTGGTTCAAATTTATTATGCAAGTTACTCAGAAGTAAAACATTCCTCTAAAATAATTATTCAACCAAATGCCTTCTTCAAGATAAGAGTGTACCTACCTACTTAAAAGTCTGGCAACGCACTTGCCAGCTTTCTGGCAGTGTTATTGTCCTCGGTGTTATCACTGAACATCAGCTTCCTACTCGTTAGCCACCTGTTCAATAAAAAAATGTGTGTACTTATACACACGTCAGAAGTTATACTTCTTTGGCGTAACAAGATAAAAATCTTTTCAAAAAATTTATTTTACGTTTGTAGAAAAAACGACACTAACAATAAAAAGGTATTGAATACATTGAAAGTTTTATTATAACGAATTGTCTAGTTGAATAAAGTTTAACATAATTAAAGAAATGGACATTTTTTAATTTAGCATGCAACTAGCATTCACGTCCATTGGTTGGAGTTTGGAGAGTAATGATAGCTAAAGTATGATACAAATATTCTTGTAAAAACATTGTTTAAATATCTCACAAATACAGCATCAATAGTTGACTATAGCTAACTTCAGGGTGTCGGTTTTTTGTGACGGTGTGCGCGGGCATCGTAAAAATTTACTCTCATAATTTTTCCCTAACGCGCTCAAAGAAGTATAACTTAAAAAAATGTTATTGCAATCAAACCCATATTAGTTTGCTATCGTTCATTTCCCTTATGCAAGTTAGTAAGAATAATTGTAAAATGGATTTAAAATCTTTAACTTCAAAAATACATGCGTATACGTAGTGTCGGGAAAATTCCACTCATCACTACTAAGCTTTTGCAAATTGGTATAACTTTTTTTTGCTTTTAGGTCGGAGGTGAAATAAGTCACACAATCATGACACATATGAATAAGTATGGCAGAGTTGCTGTGTGTGGTTCAATATCATCGTACAACGACTTTAAACCACCAAAAGGTTTTTATTGCTATTAATAATTTAATATTAAATTATAAATCTAAAATGATTCAAAATGAGACATTTCTTATTGCTTAGTTTTTATTGGTACTTATAATTGAATATTAAATTGTAAAACTAAGAAGATTCAAAATGAAAATATTGCGATCAAAACTGCTCTTTTTGGAAAGCGAAACTGTCATATGCTCTGTTAAAATTTTCGGAAATAAAGGATTCGATTTGGTATTAAAAATTGAAATAATTGAGATTATTTGATGTTGTCACAGTTTAAACGGATGACAAGCTTTAAAAAGCCTGGATTTTTTCTTAATAGGCATGTAGGTCATCCTTCATTGCCTAACACGGCGTGTGTTACTCGGTTTATTGGGTCTATGGTATGCCGGTTCCTTCACGATTTCAACATCCACGTCAAACTACATAAATATTCTTAAAACGTGAAGTCATATAATCTGTACATTTCTGCATTTTAAATTATTATTTTATTTATATATAAATCCAATTTTGCAGTAAAATAAAAATTAAGTTATTGTGTGTGGGGATGTGGTCTATGAGCGAAAGCTGAATAGAGCGTTGTGAACGACTTTAATTTATATTTTGGCCGCTGAGAGCTGAGTATTACAGTACTAATAGGTATCGCTATAAAAGGGGAGGGCTGGTGGTAGAACAAATACAACATTTTGTCCTAAAAATAAATATTATGGGGCGGGCCAACCACCCAGACTAGCTGTATCCTATATACTCGTATATAGGATACAGCTGGATACCTACCGAATATAAGACACGCAATATTTCGCCATCGGTCAAGCTCCTTCATAGGAGTGTGGTTACAAAAACTGTTACACGAGATTGATAAGATTCACCTTATATGCGTTCCACGAAATGAACACGACGTAATAACGACACGAAATAATTCTTTCGTCATGATTCTAAGCTTTTTTTAGGTGGTTTATACAATCCAAATGTACCACGAACAGTTTAAATTTGAATTATTTATATTTTTCATTCCAGTGACCATAATGCAGCCGGCCATAGTGTTTAAGGAGTTAAAAGTGGAGGGATTTTTAGTAAACCGATGGACGCATAGATGGGATGAGGGCATAAATATGAACTTAAAATGGCTGCAAGAAGGCAAAATTAAATATAAAGAAGAGTTATACCACGGTTTTGAGAATATGGTGACAGCCCTCAATGGTATTCTTAGAGGAGAAAATACAGGAAAAGCCGTTGTTAAAGTCAATTAATTTTCCTAAATTTCTTATAGTTTAAGTCAAAGTCCATTTGTAATAAATAATATTGTTATATTTTTTCTATTGACGTAATAAATAAATTAACTGCTGTTTATGGCTTATTATTTGTTTTAATTGTTGGCTTTGTATGCATTAAAAGGGTTACCTTTTAAATGAGTATGTATATACATATATGGGATGACACTAAGCGCTTTCTTGTTAATGAATATCGTTCCTAGAGTAACAGAGTATCCTCTAGTTATCTATGTATTATCTGTCATAGGTATGTACATAAAGTTTATGGGCTTCAAAAAAATTGCGACACCTACGAAGACTGGCTGGGTTCTATAGATAAGAAATATGCATAAACAAAAAAAAATACTCAACCTTAAGGGTAGGGTAGGGTATTTTCTTTATTCCTACATATAAACACTGTAAGCAAAAAAAGCAATTATTTAAAAAACTATTTCAGTATAAAAGTAAAATATTAGGTCCTTACATATGAAATTGGCGTTTTGTATGGGAGGAACAAAAAGTCGAATATTTTTAAATATAATATATTTAATTAATCAAAGTATGAACCATTGTTTTCTATGCACTTTTGCCATCTTATAGGTAGTTTATTGATCCCTTTACTAAAAAAACCAGTCGGACGGGAATCAATAAAATCTGTGAAGGCGATTTGGACTGCCCCATCAGAGTTAAATTTTTTTCCTTGCAAGAAGTTGTCCAAATTTCGAAAAAAATGGCAGTGCCGTGGAGCAAGGTCCGGGGAGTACGGAGGATGTCTTAGATTCCAATTGAAGCTCTTCTAATTTGGTCCGCCTGAGCGTGTGTGGTCAAGCGTTCATGAAGTTGATGGGTGGAGCGATCGACCAGCCTAGGTTGTTTAGCCGCTAGCTTTTCCATCATGGTTTGCAATTGCTGACAATAGACATCAGCCGTAATAGTCTGGCCAGATTTGAGAAAACTGCAATGAACAATACCGGCACTAGTCCACCAAACGCTTACAAGTAACTTTTTTGGGGTTAATTTTCGCTTGGGGCAGGATTTGGCTGGCTGGCCAGGATCCAACCATTGCGCTGAGCGCTTTCGATTATCGTAAAGAACCCATTTTTCAGCACAGGTAATGATTCGGTTTAAAATACCTTCATTATTGTGCCGGTTCAGTAATGTAACGCAGCAGTCGACGCGCGTTTGCCGGTTTGCTTCAGTCAATTCGTGAGGTACCCATCTTTCAAGCTTTTTAATCTTCCCAATTTGCTTCAAGTGAATTAAAACAGTTTAATCACTAACACCGCAGCCTGCAGCTAACTCGGACGTGGTTTGCGATGGATCCGCTTCCACAATAGCCTTCAATACTTCATTATCAACTTGGGTCTCAGGCCGTCCACGGGGCATGTTCTGCAGGTCGAAATTTCCAGAACGAAAACGTTGGAACCAAAAACGAACTGTGTTTTCTTTTGCAACATGATCGCCATACACATCATTCACCCTTCGAGTCGTTTCCGCAGCACTAGTGCCACGGCGGAACTCGTACTCGTAAATAATGCGATACTTTAAGTTTTCCATTTTGTAAAATGAGTGACGCAAACAGAAAAAAACAGAAGAAAAAAACAAATGAATGACGGTCATCGAAGCACAAATACATGAGTAAATAGCTGTACAAATTTGAATTTGGAATTCCTTACCAAAGAGGAGAACATCGTGATTAAAGTGGCCAGTACGAAATACGCCAATTTCATATGTTAGGACCTAATATTTTAGACATGTAAACATTACATGATTTTAATTTAAAAAAATCAAAACGTACGCCGAAAGATCCATTAAAAAGGGCTCGACGGATTTTGATCATTTTGTTTTTTCTGTGGTATTTAAAGAAAAAGAATTGGATAGACATTTTTTCCTTAGCTTTAGTGACTATTCCTTTACAATTAAGTAAGATTTAAAGTTGAGACTTATCGCTAAGTAATACTTCCGTATATCAAAAACGTATTGGATTTGATACACTTCACTTCTCAGGGAAGTCTTGACTCTAACTTTTCTTACAGCTTAAAAGGTGCTGCGTTAAATATTGAATAAAGACCCGTAAAATGTCTTTTGTGGAGACCAATTAAAACAATTTGTATGAATCGTTTGTCTTTCTCTTTAAAATAATATTTTCAAAATTACTTAAAATGCTGTCCCTACAAAACGTTACATACCGAAGTCTAACGTCATTTCAAATATATAAAAAAATATAGACCTTGATACAAACTATACGCATAAATCTTCAGAACTTTCAGAAGGTCATATTAATTAAATTAACGATAGTATAAATACTTTATATAAACATAAAATTTTAACGCTTCGCTATTATTTAATCTATCCTTATTCTAACAACATTAAGTAAAATGAGTTCTCGAAATGTAAAAATACGCGCAAAGAAATACGTTCTTACAAAGTACTATAATGGAGAACCAAAAGAGAGTGACTTCGAAATTGTGGAAGAAGAATTGGGAGAATTAAAGGAGAACGGTAAGATATTATTACGCTCAGTGTATTTTTTTATATTATTTATTAAGAAATATTTACAGCCTATAACTAATTTACTTACTAAATATAAAGTTCTTTTTACGCCATTAAACATATCTTTACATATAATTAATTACTTATTATTTAATGGATTGGTAACAATAACATCATTTTATACCAACCATCTAAATCTTTCAAAGAAAGTACTAAACTAACTAAAATTAGTTGAGGAATACTTGGTATAACTTAAACACTTATAAAAACATGATGTCAGAGCTCTCTTTGCCGACACCACACTCGTCATCAACAGTTAAATTGTTAAACTTACCCGCCGTAAAGCTTTTCCCTCTGTAATTGGTTTTGACCTTAGGTGTATTATGTACACACCTTACTTAGTACCTCGGGACAATATAATATTTAGTAGTATTTTTTTCACATCATAATTTTTTATGGACCTTAAAACTTTTTGTTTGGAAGATATAAGCGACTAAATTATGGCTTAATAACAATAAAACCGTCCTATAAGCTATGTAACCATACACAGCTAAATTCTATTTGTTATAAAGAAACAAAATGACAAAAATCCAGCCAGCTTAAGAAATTTTGTCTACACTCTACAAAGACTAATATTTTTTACATTCTATGAAAATTAGTAAGTTCTTTTACAGAAATATTGGTACAGGCACTGTATTACAGTATCGATCCCTATATGCGGGCACACATGCATCTTCATAAATTACCATTAGACATGATTGGAAGGCAACTGGCCGAGTAAGTTGACAGATTAAACATTTTAGTTCGTATAATCTTCGAATGAATTAATAAATATAAGCGAATGAAGGAAATATAATATAAGAATGAAGTCTAAATATTTATAAATTTATTTTATTTATATTTATAAATTTTAGACTTTATGAATAATACCCTAAAACTTCTCCATAAATTTTTTATATACAGGGTGGCCAAAAAGTCGTGGATCAAACGCAAATAGGGGATAGATGAGGTCATCAGCGGCAAAAAATTGTTCTACGGGAGGTCTCTAAGGTCAACCCCTGTAGAGTTATGATTGATTTTGGTTTTTATATGAAAATTGACTTTTTTTTACTAATTCTTCTTAAAATTCGAAAATATCTACATCCTATATCAATGAGTGGCTCAAATATTTTTCTAGGTCGAAAAAACAACAACGATTCGGTCTTATGATACATTATTTACCTACCTGTGACCAGTGCTGTGTGAATCGGACTAGATTCAAAAAATTGGACAGATGGCTGGAGGGTTATGTAGGAATTTAATTAGACGGTGCAGATTAATTATTATGGTCAGAGGCAGGAATTTTGAGCATTTATTGTAAAATGTTTTGTTTCCTACGAACAACCTTTGAGAAATAATTGTTTTAATACAATTATTTCACACTTGTTGTTGTTGTAATTCTTCCTAGAAAGATATTAGGGCGACTCATGGCCATGTGTAATACCTTTTCAGAATCCCTATAAAATGCGCCAAAACTTGTAATACAGGGTCACTTTTCGGTAGAGTAATTTTTTTTCACAGTGGGGTCCGAAGTAAACAAAAAGTTATGATTTGAAAAAATGTTATATCGTTTAACTTAATATTATCTTCGATACACTCAATAAACAACTACAAATAGTATGTCAAACGCAAGAAATCATCAGTACCAATCTAGTGGATATTATGGAAAAGATATAGAATGAAGATATTTTCGAATTTTAATAATACTTAGTTAAAAAAAGTCAATTTTCATATAAAAACCAAAATAAATCATAACTCTGCAGGGGTTGACCTTAGAGACCTCCCGTGGAACAATTTTTTGCCGCTGATGACCTCATCTACCCCCTATTTGCGTTTGATCCACGACTTTTTGGCCACCCTGTATATAATAATAATTAAAAATCACTTTGTTCTCGACTATAACAGTGAACATTACATTATCATTCAGAATATTTAAAAAGGAACAAATACTATTTTAGAGATATCTTTAAAGTACCTAATACAATTACTGGCAATATATTTTAGCCAAGCCAATATTCTTACCTAACTTAGAGTAAGTTAGGGAAGGCAAATAATTTAAAATGTAATAAAAATATTTAATTACGTTGTGTCTTCTCTAGAGTAATCGACAGCCGCCATGATGCGTATCCTATAGGCTGTTACGTAGTTGATTCGTTCGGGTGGCGAACTCATACAATTACGAATCCCAATATTCCGTATCCAAAAGGCGATGGTTTACCGCTAGTTCGAGTTCCTGATGTCAGCCCACACCCGCTGTCCATAAGCCTTGGTATTTTGGACGCGCCTGGGTATGTATACGATAACTGCCCAATGGGATATGAAACAGCTTAGCTTAGTTACTGTTTCACTGCTGATTTTTCTTATAGAGAATTAGGTTACCACCGAATTCAGGTGTATAGCCTGCCTAACTCATCATCTCACAGGCTCTTTTATCTCTGCCTTTTAATAAATTTAAGAAATGTATTAAAGAAAAGCTGTGTAAAAGGCTTACTATAAAGTTAACGATTATCTAGTTGATACCTAAGTGGGCTAGCGCTAGACAGGCTACTTCTAAATAATTTGCGATATTTGTTTTAAAATAAGTGTGGTTGATGATTTGCTATTTTAAAAGAGTACCGAGAGTTTTTACGCCAGCTTTTTCTCTCGCCCTACACGCTCTGTCGAGTAGGGATGTCTACCGATTCAAATTTAATGACGATTTTTCTTTTTTTTCTGCTTAGTGCCAAATATGTAGTTGAAAATTTTATTTTATGTTTATGTTAAAAAAAAATATATTTTATTTTAATGTGTGCTTGTATTGTCGTGTGTGTTTTAGTTGTATTTTTTTTAAATTTCTATTTGATTTTTTTTTTGAGAAACTTATGCTTGCGTTGATTGTCGCACATTTTGGATGTAAGATTTTGTGAAATAATTGGTAGATTTAGGACTGTGTGTGATGTGGTGGGCTTGATAACTAAATAAAAAAAAATAAGACGTGGAATAAGTGATACCTGTATCTTATATTCCATAATAAACATATTCTTATTTTAACCTAACCTAAACCACGGAACAATTGTATCAATTGGAAAGACAATATCACCTATAATCACTATAATCACAAATTCAAAATATTTAGTGCTATTTTGAGGATGAAATTATTAAATTTCTGTGGTCAGGCCGGTAAAGTTATTAGTTTATAGCGTTTCTTTGTAAACCAGGAACACCGCACATTTTGGTATAACAGAGATTTGTGAGCCAAAAGCTGGAGAAACAATTGTTATTACGGGAGCTGCCGGCGCCGTTGGCTCACACGCAGGACAAATTGCTAAAATATTAGGTAAGCTTCTAAGGAGCAAACTGCCGGACTTTGAATCATTCATTCATCCCGACGTTTTTATATGCAATTTATTTTATATTTTTTAAATGTAATAGGAGGCAAACGGGCAGGATGCTCACCTAATGTTAAGTGATACCGTCACTCATGGACAGTCACACTGCCAGAAGGCTCACAAGTGCGTTGCCGGCCTTTCAAGAATTGTTACGCTCTTTTCTTGAAGGACTAAGTCGAATTGGTTCGGAAATACTTCAGTGGGCAGCTGGTTCCACATAGTGGTGGTGTGCGGCAAAACTGTTGTGGAACGAAAATTGTCTAAGATAAAAGTTACCTTAACGGGGAATGTTTACCAAAATACTTTTTCTCATAAAAAAACTTCATTTATAAAAAAAACATTATATAAACAATATAGGTGGCTAAACTTATGAATTATGGATTTATTTTCAAAACGATGTTACTATATCATTTAGTATTTAAGTTTAGGTATATAAAACAATATACTTATGATTAAATAATAAATGCAAATTGGTTGTTACAAACAAATGATTTGTTAGAAAAAACAATTGATAACTAGCTTTATGGTCAGGTTGTCCTCTAATATAGGGCGGGGAGCCCTATTTATTTATTATAATAAGAATATATTTTAGCCCATTTTGCTCTATCTCTTCGGCAGACTATCTGTCCATCTTGTCTTAGATACCATTCTATTACTTCTTTTGTCCATTTTTATTTTAACTACATAAAACGCATTTTTTATTTATACAAATTTATATTCAGTAGTGCCATAAAAATGTAATATGACTTGACACTTTCTCTTTGTGTATCCGGACGTTTCTATGTCCATTATAAAAGTTAATGCACAGTAATTTTAAGTTGTTTTGTGAATTTAACAGGATGCAAAGTTATAGGCTTCGCCGGGTCCGCCAAAAAATGCGAATACTTGGTAAATGAACTTGGCTTCGACCATGCATTTAATTATAAAACTGCTGATATCATCGAGGCCCTAAAGAGTGTGGCTCCAAATGGTGTCGATTGCTATTTTGATAACGTAAGTTCCAATTTAATTATTATTGCCTACAAAAAACAATTATACTGTTAATTATAAAATTAATCATGTATTCCATCTTTAGCTGTATCTAATGATATGGTTGATGGAATACATGATAAGGTTCAAACATTTACGAAAGGAAAAAATAAAATACATTTAACCCTAAAAAAACCCGTAAAACCTAATTCGGCTATGTTGTATGGTGGTGTAAAAGTATGGGTATGTACTTGCCAATGATTTTATAAATATTGGTATTCGTTCTTCAGTGCTTATTTATGTTAATAAAGTCTTCTAAAACAGCGAAACTGATGTTTCAACTTTTAGTATATATTTAAGTAATAGATGGTGAAAAAGTCTTCGCTTAGTCGACAAATGATTATATAAATACCTATTCTTGATAATGTTTTAATTTATTTCAAGGTTGGAGGTGAATTAAGTTACAAAATTATGAGGCAAATGAAAAGCAATGGTCGAGTAGCAGTGTGTGGTTCAATATCGACATATAATAATGTAGAACCAGCAAAAGGTAATTACTTACTTCACTTCCTTAGTTTCTAAATAATGTATTTCGTAGTAATTTTTTTAGCAATTTGCTTATCTTATGGTGCTCCCACATTGCCATTAAAAAATGTTTAGTAACGTTAGTAAACATTTATTAGCAAACATTTAATCACAAATGTTAAAAATGTTTTCATGTTAGAAAATGTTTAGTAACAAGTTAACAAATTATAACAAAATTGATTCCAATGAGCAAATCCTCTTCCATTTACGTGCAGACGCCCACAGAACGCAAACCAAACTGCGAGCCAATACCAGGTTTAAATGTAATAAAATGTTAGTAAACATTAGTACACATTTTCTATTAGTGTAGCTGTAGGAGCACTTATAACATGTAACAGTTCCTAACAAAATGTAACAATTGACAATATTTCTTTGTAAATGTTTTTATGTTAGAAAATGTTTCATAGTTTGAAATCAATTAAGAATGAAACCTTTCGAATTATGTATTTTTTTTTGGTGAATGTACAATGTACATTAATCTACAGGTATTATCATAATGACAAGGATCTATGTGAAATGCGCAATCGAAAGATACTATTTATTGTTCCGTCTAAGTAAAAAGTATATTTTAATTACAGGAAGCGTACTACAACCAATAATTGCGTATAAACAACTTACGTTGAAAGGTTTCTTGGTATATCGATGGGCAGATAGATTTGAAGATTGTATGAATACCACGTTAAAATGGGTGAATGAAGGAAAGTTGAAGTATAAAGAAGAAGTTTACTACGGTTTCGAAAATATGGTGAAGGCATTGAACAGTATTCTGCGGGGAGAAAATATTGGAAAAGCCATTGTTAAAGCGTAAATAAATGGAATTGGAATATATTACGATTTACATTATTATATTTTTTTGTAATAATAAAATATAAGCCATTATATTTCGTACATTTTTTCACCTTTTAGGATTGACTATTGGTGCGTTCCACTAAGCGCTCACGACGACAAAATGCTCCTTTAGCCATCCACATACCGACCGCGGTCGTTGTGGTCACGGCGAAAACGTCACTCATGACGTCATGACTAATGCTCACGCAACGCTCACAACGACCCATCTAAAGAGGTGGGTCGTTGTGAACGTTGAGAATAATTTGGCGCAATTTTTGAAATTTTTTGAAAATGACAAAAAAAATATATATTCAAAGCTAAAGATGGCGACAAGAAAAATCACATATTTGATTCAGAAAGAGAAATTGAAAGCCATTTCGATATATTTTAAACTTAAGTTGTTTGATAACTTCACCAAAATATTTAAAAAATTCAATTTTCTTCACATTTAACAAAAAAATTTAAGTCACAAATATCAAAACTATTGTTTATGATTACCTAACCTCCAAAATTCTACATTTTCAAACTTGACATTTGTAATATTACTGAACGCCCGAAACGCCCATAACCATTCCACTTGAGTAACGACAGTAACATTCACAACAAGTGGGGGAAACGCGGTCGTGAGCGTGATCGTCGTGAGCGCTTAGTGGAACGCACCATATGCTTTACTTTATTTGCGGTTGGCACTATCAATGACAATTACAAACTTAAAGTGTCAAAGTCAAAAAAAAACCTGTCTATTCTAATAATAAATAATGTTGTTTGAAATTTTTACCGCTGGGGCTGGCCGCTGACGCTTAGGTTTACACTTTACCGTGTTTGAACTGAAATTGTAAGTTGTAACAGTTTACAACAAATTCCAAGTTAACTGAAATGAACGAGAGATTTGGTTTTACTTTTCTTTTCATTGAATAGGATAAACGAAATACTTACTCGTATATGATCCTAGTTATTAAGACTAATTGTTTATTTTGATTTAACAAAGAAAAAATGGAATTTCCATTTAACTTAAATAAAATTTCTGCCTCGAGTACCAAAGTATATGTTGCTACTTTTGATTTCGAGATTGGAATGATCATGGCAGCTGGTGATGATGAATTTCTTTATATTGTTGCCTTTAAAGATTCAAAAAATGTTAAAGACATTTTTGTAAAAGTAGCAAAAGAACTTTCATGTGAATTTGTAAATAAAAAGAACAAGTTACTAGAGAATTTCGAAGTACAATTAAAAGATTATTTTGATGGTAAACTCAAGAACTTCAGTATACCTATTAAATTTTTTGGTACAGATTTTCAAAAGGTATGTATGATAACCATAGACGTGTGATACTTGCATAAAAATATATTTTCATATTATTTACACAGTTATTATATATGGTTTTTTATTTTATTAGTCACATTTTGACATTAAGGCTACCTAATATAATATATAGTTTATATATTATAGTAGTTTTACTTCGCAATCAAGATAATTTTGAATTTGTAACTGGCATAATAAGTACTTTTCTACTAAACAGAAGGTTTGGGATTTGCTGTACAAACAAGATTATGGAACAACTCAGACTTACGGAGATTTGGCAAAAGCATTAGGGCGATCTGGGAGCCATGCTAGAGCAATTGGTGCTGCATGTGGGGCCAATGGACATATAATTGTTATTCCATGTCACAGGATAGTTGCATCAGGTTCAAAGGGAGGGTTCAGTAGTGGTGGTGACAGGAAAGAATGGTTGTTACATCATGAACATAAGTACAATTAAACTGTTATGGTAACTGCACTTGTTTTTAGACTTAAATAGTAACAGAAAGTACAAACTTGTCTTAAAACATTAAATGTTACAAATGAGTTATGTTAAAAATAAATTTATTTTGAAAATATGTGTAATTACACTTTATAAATTATGGTTTTATTTACAATTGTCTATAAGTAAAGTATGTATTTTCATAACTTAAACAATACAAACTTACAAATATAAAAAAGTGTTGCTTACTTTATTTGAATGCAGTGGCGGATTTACAAATTTTCAAGGTATAGGCTGTGAAGTTGCCGCCCTTGCCTCTACAAATTGTCATGTCTTATGATATTTTTAGAATTCAACAATTTCAAATATTTTTTGGGTTATATTTTTGAGCACAAACCATCTATATAGTTCGCTATATAGCTATATGTTGACAAGGGGAAGAGGGAAATACACTTTCTGAAATTTCGCTCTTTTTACTCGTACAAAGTGTGAGCTGATGGCGCAGAGGTCGAGTAGAGGTGGGCAAAATTTGGTACAGACTTCTATCTGTAAAACATCAGAAAACCGTCATGCAGAATTTTTTCTGATTTCTATGAGGTAGCAAAAAAAATTGCTTCTAAAATTTGCCGCCCTAGGCTCCAGCCTACTCAGCCTGTTGGTAAATCCGCCACTGTTTGAATGTATCTAGTCACATTACAACTAAAATCACAAGTTTAATACATTTATAGGTACAAATAAATATTTTGATTATGTAAATTTAATTTACTTGGCTAAAATTTGTCTTAAAGGTGGTGCATGGATTTTAATTTAAATTCCTTAAATGTGAATTTGGATTTAGGCGGTGAACCTCTAAGCTACTTATACAACATAACAATATTTTTGAAAAAAAACAGCAAAATGCTAAGTGCATCCATGCTGGAAATGTAGGCCTATCCTATACCTATAGTCGTATTTTTAATTAGACGAAGCCAACTGACAGTAGCACTTTTTTTTTTTTTTATTCGGATACAAGCCATTGGCACCTAATGTCACTTTGTAAAATAATGTTGCCATATTTAAAGTAATAGTGCTGCGTTCAGTTCTTGTTCAATCAGATGAATGAACAATGAGTGTGAATAGTTAATCATTTCAAACTATACTTAAAACAATATTATTTCTATTTGAAAATTGTATAAAAGTGCTCTGATATAAGTTAGGTACTAGTACTATGTAACTACAATCAGTTTTTTGACGGCTTATTACAAAGCGCGGCGCGGCGACTAGTGCCATCACCGATCATTAATTCAGGGGTTTTTACTTTGTCACAACACTATTTTTATTTCATTAAAAACTGACAAGACCGTAAACGTCAGTTGACTTCGTCTAATTAAAAATACGACTATAGAGTTATGAGAAGGTAGAAAGTTATGTGCAACAGAATTAAAATTTACTAAACTGACCACTTTTAACATTCAATTTATGTTAATACAAATCAGTGACACTCATTTAAATAAGACCTAAATTCTCTATTGAATGTTTTTATAACTGTATTATTTGTAACTTTTTCTCATCTTCATTAGATTTGTAGAATTATGTAGTAGATGTAGGTTTATGAATTAAATATGAAATACGGAATTTCACAAGACAGATGACGTTGGTCACTGCATGGCACCGGTTAAGATACATAGCATCACAAACGATGAAGTACCAAGTTCGCTATATATTGGAGTTTGGAAAATTGCAAGAAAATAATGTTATGCTGTTGGAACTAATATTCTACACCTACCCACATAAAATGGAAAATACATGTGCTAGCTATCATCCACAGATTAGATTAAAACTAAAATAATGTATCTAAAAGCATTAAGCATATCCCCGTCGGTTGAGATTGTAGTATAGCCCCTTGAGTTGCATGAGATGCGCGTGAGTCCCGACTTCCGCCAGTCTTCCATCGTTGAGCACACAGATGAGATCTGCATCCCTTACTGTGCTAAGGCGATGGGCGATCATCACGCATGTGCGACCTGCCTTTGCCCCATCCAGGGCTTCTTGAACTACCTTTAAACAAGAAGTCAGTATTAAAGACACAATCATTAAACTATAACAAATATATTTAATATTAATATGCCAACATTTGTCTACATTCGCAGTCCCGCCACCCCGTTGAAGCAGTCTCATTTTTTTTCTGTTTTATGTAAGTATAATTTTTAAGGTAAAAAGTCGATAATATCTTTACCCTCTTGAATGAAATCTATTGATTCCAGGTTGTAGTAATCTGATAATTATCGCCTATCTACGTCTTAAAGGAAAGAGAAATAGGTGGGAAAATGTCTACCGCAAGCCAGTGGCGTAACTATACCATTTGGGGCCCGTGGCATATTCTTTTGACCCTATAGTAAAAATGGTCACATTGTACTCAGTTTAATTTTAATAAACTTTGAGATTTTCAGAGTACTCAATTACACGTTGTATATGTCCCACTAATGGCCATAGGCCTCCTCTCTTAAGCAAGAGGGAATGGTCTCTAGTCCCCACGCTAGCTCAATATCCCCTAGCTAGCTAATTGGAGACTTCACATTCATCGATCGAACATAATATCTCTTGGGCAGGGGCCCTCATGGGTCGGGGGCCCGTGGCATTCTGCCAGCCCTGCCACTCTTTTGTTACGCCACTGCCGCAAGGAATATTTTAGGGTAAAGGAACTGAGACAATAGTACAAGTTAAAGCTTAACGTGACAAAATAACATACTTTTTCGCTTTCGGTATCTAAAGCGCTGGTCGCTTCATCCAAAAGCAGCATTTTTGGTCTTCTAATTAATGCTCTCGCGATAGCTACCCTCTGCTTCTGACCTCCTGACAATTGGGTTCCTTTAGAACCGATATTGGTGTCGTATCCCTGTGAAGTAATTTATATATATTACTGATTGGCTTTCTATGTATAATAATCTTTAATATTCTTTGAACATATAGTCTACAAAATCAACCTGGGTGTCTCACGGTTGAAACTCACGGCAAAAGGCAAAAAACCCGAACAACTAAAAACGTATTGACCTCAAAAAATATACAGTTAAAAATAAATATAGTTTATACTTTAATGCGTTTTGATCGTAATATATAAATTCTCACCGAGGGTAGAGACACAATAAAATTGTGAATATTGGCCTGCCTAGCTGCATCAATGATTTCGTCCATACTGGGCTTCCTAGAGTTGTCTCCATACGCAATGTTTTCTCCAATAGTGCGGTCGAAGAGCACGGGCTCTTGTTGAACAAAGCCAATAGTCTGTCTTACGTCAGCAAGACGGAGTTTGGTAAGGGGGATGCTGTTTTGTGCCTGAAAGATTAATTGACTATTGAAATTTTTTCTGAGATTTCAGATGTTTGTGCTCTCAACAATTTATTAACATTGTTTTTTGTTTTTGAATTGCATTGCTCAGCGGCTGAGACATTTATGCTTTATTCGTTAAAAAAAGAGGCCTCACACAAGAGGAATGTAAGAGTGAGTGAATTATAGGAAATATAATACTTTTTGATGTCGTGGCGATATATGGCCAGCCATTTTTTTAAGCAAAAGAAAACAAATTATCGAAACGAAAAAAAACAGTTGATAATAATATTATCAACTATTAATAATTATTAACATACCACAATGCCCTCGTCAGGATCGTAATATCTCTCCAAGAGCTGTATAATGGTGCTTTTGCCGCAGCCACTTGCACCAACAAGAGCGATGGTCTTCCCATTTTCAATCTCTAGGTCTAAATTCTTCAGAACTTGTACTAGAGGTCTCGTGGGGTAGCGGAAACTCAGATTTTGAAGGCTTGCTTCTCCTGTTCCTCTCTGAAAGTTTGTTAATTTACTTTTAAACGTTATAAAGTAAATACATTGTTAAAAGTGTAATAATTTTACTTAATTGTTTTTCAAAGTCAGAATTTTGTCCTGGGAAATGTCTGTATGAAGCTAGTTACCGAACGCACGCAGGACGTCGGTAAAATATTGAAATCCAAAACCAATTGAAATTAGATTAAATTGTTAGATAGGTAAACTTACAAAGTTTTCTGCAGCTGGTTTATGTGGGTCGGTTATTTTCGATTCTCTTTCTAATATAACCATTACCCGCCTGGCAGCTTTCAGACCTTTCTGGAAGTTGGGCGCGAAGGCGAAAGCCTGTGCTGCTGATGCAGAACCCATGAGAAGCGCTTGCGCAGATCTTTATAATAAATAAAAAAATATTTTTTATTCTATTCAACAGAACTCTCTCTAAAACTTTATTAAAATAGATTCATTCTGCTTGCGGAAATCATACCACCTAGGTACGTATTGGTAGGTCCCATACTAATTTATGGAATGGGATAAAGTACTTTATAGCACATAGGTATCAAATATGACACTACGGCCTTATTATTCAGGGTTTATAATAGTGTAAAAAATTTTCAAGTGCTTCAGATTTCTTCACAAAATTAATAATAATTTTATGACATTAAAGTAGCTAACAAATATCAGTAACTTACTTAAGTATAACAGCGTAGTCAACCCCTTGGTATACCATTAAAGTTCCCCCATAATACAAAGCAGCCGCGTAAATAAAGTTGAAGAGCCCTCTAGATAACCCAAAGACAATCCCGCGCCAATGTGCGGTTTTCTTTGCAATCTGTAGCGCTGGTAATAGTTGTATGGCGTAATCTTTTGAGAATCCCGCTTCGCGCCCTAGTGAGGCAACTGTACGTACGTTTGCTACGGCTTCTACCGCGATCTGTAATGTCGTTGGTTTTGGAGATCGTATGACAGAGTTTTAGACTAGCTTAAATAAAAAATTCCCTATTATCAATGTAAACAGAGCATTTAAAAGTATAATATTATTATTAATTCTGATCTTTCTTGTTTTTATTTATTATGTAAACGTTTAAAAGCGGGTTTAATTTTTATTTGATAACTAGCTGCCCCCGTGAACTTCGTTTCTCCTTTATGTGATTTTACTTAGCATACCTTTTTCTCTATATAAAACTCAGAGATCAAGTTATAAGATTTTAATTAACAAATAAAAAATAAGAATTGGTGATATAGAGGTGAAAATTTAGAGCTGTATGTATTTTTTAATGACACATTAAAAAAATTTAAAATCGTCCAAAATATAAAAATAAAATGTTAGGGGTGGACAACCCTTAACACTCAGGGGTATGAAAAATAGATAGTAGCCGATTCTCAGACTTACTGAATATGCATATAAAATTTGATAAAAATCGGTCAAGCCGTTTCGGAGAAGTATGGTAACTAACATTGTGACACGAGAATTTTATATATAAGAAGATTATAAGAAAAATATACCTTAGAACTGGCCTCCATAGTTTTCGCTGTTCCAAAGGATTGTGCGCTGACCATTCTACCTTCTTTGTACAGAACTCCCGCCATAAATGGCACAAATACCATAATAAGCAGTCCTAAGCGCCACTCGTAGAATAAGGACACTCCCAAAGCAAAGCTAAATGTTCCGAAAGCTTGCAACACTGTTCCAATTCTTTGACCAGTCGCCTAAAAAATATAAACATATTATTGTGTCACAAAAATGAGGCTAAAATAGGTATTAATGCTGAAATTTTGTATCATCAACTAATTATGAAATTATCCCCACAAAACGTAGATTTATTAAAACTTAAGTATAGTATTTAACAGTCCTAATAATTAAGCAAGCTATTAAAATATCTGGGTCGTCACTCGTCAGTTTGAGCAAGGATTTTTCTTTCAAAGTCCACAATAAACATTTGATACGTTAGATGAAGACTTAAGACTACTTAAGATATGTGAGTCAAGAAAGATAAATATAAGGTTAAGACCCTTTAAAACCATATCTGAAGATCTTAATAATATTAATAAATCTAAAAAGTAATTTCTGTGTAGTAAAAATTATTAAAACCCAGTAATACAATTAACTTGCTATATATGAATATAAAATTACCCCTTCAACATTCGCAGCTTCTCCCGACAGTCGGGCACAGAGGGCGCCAGTTGAGTTGGACTTGTCGTCATAGAAACCTATTTCCTGTTGCATCAACTTCTCAAACATCAGCTTCCGGAGCCGCTGTGTTAAGTATGCTCCAGCAATTCCAAACATTGATACCTATTGGACAAAGAATCTTTTAGAAAAAAACTTAATATTTCGCAGCAGATTTTGCGAATAAAATTTGTTACGTGAAACGTCCGGAATGTGTTTATTTTATTTTTAATTCACACTTATGATGAACGCCTTTAAAACCAGTAAAACTAAATTTTATTGAACTAATTACAGCTTTCTATCCCTACATACCATTAACTAGTACAAAATTAATTTTCGTGGTTTAAAAGTATCTGATTTTTGTCACTTTGATCATACGTACGACACGTTTTGAAGTGACTTGTTTTATTTTGAGAAACTAGACAGGACATGACACGTAATTTTTAATGATTTTTTTGTAATAAATGTAATGAATTCAGAAAATATTTACCACTATGAAGTTAGCAATCCCAGAGAAAACCCCGACTCCAACAAATATGAGGGCATACTTTCGTACTTCATCCCTAACATATTCTGGGTCAGGATGTGAGAGAATCTGAAATAATTTAAAATCAACTCAATTTTACAGACTATGCAAATATGTAATGACGGATTAATTATGTCAAAAACGTATTAGATCTGACATACGGGAGTCATAGGTACTTAGCGATTTGTCTCACCTCTGAATCTTACCTAAGAACGAATTGCAAGAAAAAGGAGAAAATACTGTTAAAAGACGTACACTAAAGTTATGTATGAGGAATTTTCATGATATACGTATATGTAATAATTAAAATTACCCCAATGAAGTCTCCAAGTATGACACCCAATAATGGCATCGCAAATCCACTGACAACAGAGGCGATACTTGCCGCCGTCACAGACTTCCATTCTGGTTTGTTCAATCGAACAACTTTCCAGAATGACACTTGTGGCTCCTCTGTAACTTCTGCTGCTTCCTAAAATGGAAATAAATTATTTAGACACCTAGGGTCGATTTAAGACTTACGAGCCTTCTGGCAATGAGAGTGTCCATGGAAGGCGGTATTCTTATCTACCATCAGCCTTCAGCCCGTTTGTTTGTTATATAAAAAACGATGACACCCTCAACTTTGAAATTTGTTGAATTTTGAACTGAATTTCTTTCAACACAAAAATTTTCAGAACATAACATACCTGAATACTTGACTCAATGTGCTCGTCTTCATCCTTCTCGCTAACTACAGATACGGTTCGGGTTAAAACGTTGCCTCCCTGATCTAAAATCAAGATAAATCTATTATAAACGTTCTCGGGCTGATTTATTAACCCAAAATAAAACCTACAAAAGAACAGAAACTTGAAATAATATAGTCTATAACAGAAACTTTATACATAATATATATATTTATTATATACAGGTTGGTCAAAAAGTCGTGGATCAAACGCAACTAGATAGATGGGGATAGATGCAAAAAATTGTTCTGCGGTAGGTCCCTAAGCTCAACCCCTGCAGAGTTATAATTTATTTTGCGTTATTATAAGAAAATTGACTAATTACTTATTCTTATTAAAATTCGAAAATATCTACATTCTGTATATTTTTCATAATATCCACTAGATTGGTACTGATGAGTCCTTGCGTTAGATATACTATTTATCGTTGTTTATTGAGTGTATTGAAGATAATATTAAGTTATACGATATAAAAATTTCTCAAATTATAACTTTTTCTTTACTTCGGACCTCACTGTGAAAAAAAAATACTCTACCGAAAAGTGACCCAAGTGCAAATTACCAATACAACAGGTTTTTTGTAAATTCCACCACTATAGTTAAGCGAAAAATGTACGCGCAAATGAAACCGCAATCTATATATAGCAAGTTTTTTAGACACAATAAATGTGATGGCCGCAAATGATCAGGGGTAGGGAGACTAGAGCGAAGGTGAAGTGTCATCAAACATATGACAGATCGTGTGACATATCTGCCATAATTAGTAATGTTTATACCAGTTTCAGTGAAGTCTGGTGAATACTGCAGCATCACCATGTCATAGTAGTGTCCTTTTAGTTCCATCAGTTCTTCGTGGTTACCACTTTCCACAACTATACCAGCTTTGAAGACGTAAATCTTGTCGACATTTCTGATAGTGGTCAATCGGTGGGCTACGACAATTGTAGTGCGACCTTCAGAGGCCTGAAAATATTATTTTGCAGTCAAGTGCTATTACGTAGATTTAACATTATTCAATGATTCGTTTAACCAAAATACCGTTTCTTGGTTTTTATCTAGATCAAAACGAACCGCAATTACCCGAATCAATTAATAATTAAAAGTAAAATTGAAATAGCAATGTCATGGCATTTTCCATACCTATCATGCTTAAGTTAATAATTAGTTAATAAATAGTAGTACATTCACCGTATTATGAAATTTTAATTAGGCTACGAAAGATGTTAAAATAAATGATATTGATATGACTCTGTACTTTGATTCATTTATTTATCGATGATTTTATTTCTTTATATATTACCTTATCCAAAGCCTTCTGTACTTTATGTTCAGAAGCCGTGTCGAGTGCGCTAGTGGCTTCGTCGAGCAAAAGAATGCGCGGATTACGAACGAGCGCGCGAGCGATTGCTATACGTTGCTTCTGACCGCCCGATAGTGACGCACCGCGCTCGCCGACCAATGTATCGTAGCCCTGAAATAGTTATAAGGGAATAGCTAAAAGGTTAGTCGACATCACAGGAGACCGAAGAGCTGGCAGCTACCTCGGACAAAGATTTAGTCTAGCTTTTCAAAGGGGGAACGCCTGCCAGTATCTTCGGAACTATTATTATATTTTAAGGTTAGTTACTGTTTTTTTCCGTTATTAATTAATTGATTTAAAGAAAACGAATTTAAAGGTCACGGTGACTGAAGACAAAGGTGTTGAATGTCAAAAAATACTGTGTAATGTAATGTAATAAAACTATTATTATTTTATTTAAACTTGTTAAAAAGGATTTTACACATATATCGTATTAGTTAAGTTCCTCAATTAATCGTGTTAGGATAATGACCCTGATGAATGTTTATATTATAAAATGTTTGGTTTAACGAGTGCAACTTAATGTGTATCTTTGGATCTCACTTAAAAGGGGCCATTACATACACATGTAATTTGCGGCGCACATAATAGGTACACAAGATAATAAGGGCGCCGCTACCGAAATATATTTTGTTACACTTACACAACAACATATTCTTTGTAGTGGAGTATCGTTAAGTAGGTACAATAGGCGCAAATTTAAATAACAAAACATATATTTCGCTTGATGTACACATCCCAAGATAATATTTACGCTTGTGGTTTAATTTTACTTTGTTTGTCTTCCTTTAATTTAAGACGCCGCCGAACCTACGTCCGTTCCTCTGAAGCGAACTAGTTTTACCTATTTAGGAAAATATAATTTTATTCGGTCAAAATTAACAAATAATAAAAACAATACGTTGAAACATAAAGATTCGTTAAAATAGAGGCTTCGCACACAGGCGCTGCCGGGGATCGGCACGTCCCTGATTTTAGTAACTAGGTATAAAAAATAAATTAATGGCGCTACAACCTTTTTTAGGTCTGGGCATCAGATTTCTGTATCTGTTTGTGATCATTTGTTAATCTAATAGGCAGGTAGATAATCAGACTTCAGTGCCTGACGATCACCGTCGACTTGTTGGGTCTAAGGCAAGCCGGTTTCCTCACGATGTTTTCCTTCACCGTTCGAGCGAATGTTAAATGCGCACATAGAAGGAAAGTCCATTGGTGCACAGCCGGGGATCGAACCTACGACCTCAGAGATGAGGGTCGTACGCTGAAGCCACTAGCCCAACACTGCTCTACACGGTTACTAGGTATATGGGATAAAATAAACAATTTTTAATCCTACCGATGGTAATTTCATTATGAACTGGTGTGCATTGGCTTGTTTGGCTGCCTCCTCAATAGCTTGGTTAGTGGCATCCTCACGACCAAAGCGAATGTTGTCTCGTACAGTGGTATTAAAGAGAACTGGTTCCTGGCCAACCAGACCAATCTGTTCTCGCAGCCAACGGATGGAGAGGTCACGGACATCGTTTCCATCTATGTGTACCTGGCGAATTCTAAATGCGTTGAGTAAAGGTTGTCTTTTCGTTTTTTAAGCGCTGAAGAGTCAATACCAAACCATTCGAACAAATTTTGGAACTCATATTATCGAATGAAAGCGTGTAAAGTTTTAAGTTAAAGCATAGAATTGGAGTCAGAAATCTAGACATTTGAAATCCACACCATACATATCTTCTATTTATCATCTTTTCAACTGCCCGGCTAGCTCAGTCGGTAGAGCATGAGACTCTTAATCTCAGGGTCGTGGGTTCGAGCCCCACGTTGGGCGATATCTTTTTTTATTTCTTTACTCATTTTTTAAAAATGGCTGGACGTTATTAAATCATTTATAACAAAAACTTAATTCTTTACATTTTTCTCTGACTTACGTTATTAATTGGACTCTATGAACCCATTTCGATGTTTGAAAAGAAAACTTGTACTTAGTATCTACGTTTACATACTTAGTAGCTTTTGTATGGAAAATGCACTTTCTTAAACTAAGGTATTTCTGAGAAGCTAAGCTGTTATTTACAAAACGTATTTAGAGCATTAACTTTTTTTATAACTAAGCTATCAGAGCTAAAATTTTCTTTTGGCTTGTGATAGAAATAGATATTAAAAATATTACAACCTTCTTTGAAATGTTTTATTTATTTCGAAATGAAGTAATACTCATAATTTGGGCCTTCTCTTATATCGAGCCGTACTACATAATACAATGGAGGATCGACGACAGATCATTCAGTTAATAAAATAAGCTTATAATAATCTTGCGTTATCAATAAATCAAGCTAAAAGCTGCCTGAAAGTAATAAAGCGCACACAATAGTTTGTTTGAAGACCTTTCGAGTCACTAAGTATACTGTTATTTATCTTAGAGACTTTGTGAAGTTAGTAAAAAGACCTATAGTTTTCAAAACCATCTTTATCGAAACTCATCAAAATTCCTATAAATTTCTTCTCTTACTAAGAAACTTTCGGATATGTTTATAGATTATGCCTACACGTCATAAATAAGTAATTTAGAGAAATCGACTTCACGACGTCATATTATTTTCCCTACCTCCCGAGAAATGCGTGGATCATGACTCATGAGTCATGATCCCTTGATTTGACTGTTTTCTAGAAGTTTGAACACAAACACAATACACTAAAGTATGGCAAACACACATACACGTATTCTATTCCAATATCACAGACTATTAAAAATATAGAATACAGATAAGTGGATATTTTGACAGTATTTATAACTAAGAAAACCCGCCAAAAAACTGTAGGCAAAAGTGGCTTAGCCACCTATTATTAAAATTACAATAAAGTAGAAATTTTTACTTACACTGCCATCAATAGTATCATAGTATCTGGATATAAGTTGAATAATAGTTGACTTCCCGCATCCAGAGTGGCCAACCAGCGCAACAGACTGTCCACGTTTCACCGTTATGTTGATTCCTTTTAACACCTAAAAATTACTTTTTTTTAATAAAATGAAACCTGGTTAGTAGAGATCTCTAGGCACCAAGGATTTTGTCCTATTTAAAGAGGTTTTCATTGATCCAGATTTCCAATGAAATAGGTCTCATTTACAGAGGCCCGCTTATAAAGGTCGAATATACAGACTTTTCACAATCATAATCTGATAGAAGCTTAAATTTTTTAGATGCTGATAATATGTTATATTTGTACATTTTGGACATTTTTATTTTCTTATTTGAAGATCAAAACCTGAGAACAATCGTATCGTAACCAACCTAATATTTTGTCTCATTTATTGAATTGAGCTACAGAGTCCCAATTATAGAGTTAACATCGAAAAATCCTCGAATCAAATCTTATTTAACCAATCTTGAAAATTCACATTAATAGAAGTATTTCGATGAAAAAGTATCGGGCACTTATTGCAATTCTCAATAATAGAGTGATTATATTGTGATAAGGTCAAGTTGACCAGTGTTCGTTTAAGTGTGAGCGGGCCTTCCCTCTACACACAGATCTGTCCAAGTTACGTGCCTCGTATCTTTGACATCCATAGTCCATAAAGTATTTATTCGTTCCATTAGGTAATATTTTATATTGACACCGACATTAAAATCTCTTATGTAAGTCACTCGATGCTGCACGCATTCTGCTATATAATGCTTCGTAGGCCCTACGTATGCCTGCTAAGCTTTCAGGCAATTATTGTATAGGTTCTAGCTGACCTAATTTCAAGTATTATTTTCAAGTCGAAATAATTGTTCATTGCATTGCATTATTATTTATGATTCTAAGTGTTTTATTATTATGACATCTTTATAAGAAATAAGGAAAAATAGTTATTTGAACATGATTTTTTGTCTCTAAACATGTCATGTAAGAAAAAGAAGAAAAGAAGGTTCGGTCTTTAATTAAAAAAATATGCCTGCATCATGCCACCATGGTTAAAAAGTTGTAATATATTATTGTCTCATTGGTAATGAACTCCTAGAGGAATTAGCCTAAAAAGGTTCAATTTTTTTTGTTAAAAATCTTATAATATTATATTGTTTTTATTGGGTAATCAGTGATATACATTACAATAGTGCTTAGGTGCAATAACCTATAAAAAAAATAAACGTGGAATAAAAATATAAATAAATAGTGTTGCTTAACAATATATCTTACCGGTACATCCGGTCTCGAAGGATAATGAAAAACTACATTCTTGAGTTCTATATTTCCTTCTATAGAACTGGGTACAGCACCACGATTCCTCAATGGATCTATCGTAGGTACATTATCAATTAAGTTGAATATTTGAGCACCAGCTCCCTTGGCCACTCCGAATACTTCCATTAAAGTGGACGAGATACCAAAATTTGATGATCCCATCATCACACCGAAAAAGACCTGGTAATATAAATTAGAAGAGTATTCATCGTATATGGCTCACTAAAGTTGTATATATTTTAATTAAAAAAAAGTATATTAATTTCTTTTTTCATAAAAAATATAGAAATAATTGCTTTGATTAAATGTATTAATACAACGTGATAAATCATGCAGAATTGATAGAATTTTATATATTATGACTTACAGCAATCATCGTGTCCACATCATAGTTTTCTGGCTCGTTCTGTATGAACTGGTTCCCGAACCAGAACGACAGTGCATACGAACAGAAAATACAGAAGAAAAGTGTGCCCATAGCCAGACCGTTGAAGAATCCTGGTAAACAATAATAGTATGAAAATAGTAAAATAAGATATTTTAAGTACCTAAGTAAGATAAAATAACTCTGCCGAACGCCGTAGTGTTTTGATTTTTTTCTATTAAACGGTAAAGGTGAACACCGTAAGTTTACCACAACGAGTGTAAGATTCAAAGTCGCAACTTAGCGCTAAGTACGACTTCTATATGTCAAATTTAAGGATTAGATCGATTAAGGGTCAAGTATTGTTTTTATTATTAACTTGGTAGTTAAAGCAAAGATTATTTTCCATCCATACAAATAATAAATATAGAATCTCTACCTTTCTTGATATTTATTTTTCTCGCTTCATTAGTGTGTGTTTCATATCTTTCTAACTCTTTATGTTGTCCGCTGAAAGCGTACACTGTACGAATTGCTGACAGAACCTCCTCAGCTATTGAACCAGCTTTACTTGAAGCCGTGGCTTCCTTCTTCGACAGCCTTGATGCAATCTATGTATTAAATAATAAAGATGAAGTTAGTTTTGAGGTTATTTTTCTTTAAATATTTGCAGGTTTTATTGGTACAAAAGTCAACTTACAAGTCCAGCCATTCCCACAAGAAAGAGAGTAACGGGAAAAGTGACGAGGCAGAGAAGTGCCAGTTTCCAGCCCTTCGTTAGAGCCATTACTATTGAGCTCACGAACGCAGCCTGGTAGTAGATGAAAGTACCAAGTTTCTCACCGATTCCTTCTTCTAATTTTACAACGTCACTGCAAATACATAGTCGTCTATTAGTTTTCAATCTTAAGTAAAGTTAATAATGAGTTTGTTGGGTATCAAAATAATTCCTAGAAGATTTCGCCTCTTAGTAATTCGTAATTTTATTACGTTCTTTTCTTTGCGCAATGTCACTTAGGTAGTTTTCAATATGTTTAATGCACATATACATATGGCCAATTTTGTAATTACAAATAACAAAATTATTTTAACCTAACTAAAACGTAGGTGTTACATACAAAAGCAACGTTTATACTCACTCAGTCATTTTGGAAGCAAAATCTCCGGTTTGATGCGTGTCAAAATATTCGAAGTCCTGATTTAAAGCTGCCTTCAGGTATTCTTGGCGTATTTTATAAACCTAAAAACAAGATTTATAAACGTTTGTTATGCCATGTATTTTATTTCTAGGTAATTTTTTTTAGTTTAATAAGTATATCTATCTACAATATTAAAAAATCGGGGTTGATCGTAGGGGATGTATGTATTTTTGTATGTTGTATCATAAAAATAAAAACAAATAAAAAAAATGTACTTAATCTAAAGAATAAAAAAAAATTTTGGGGTGAACACTCCTTATCACTTAAAGCTGGGTATCGATTACGCGCTCCAAGAGGTCGAACATTGGCGCGCGCTCCAGCCGCGCGAAATGGATACCACTTTGGAACGCGCGCCAATATGTTCGTTGGAGCGCCCGAACGCGGAGCGGTCCGTTCCGACGGGTGTCGGTTTTTTACCACGCATCAATCGTGGCGCGCGCGCCACTTGGGACGGACATATCGTATTTTTTTGTGTTTGTTGCGCTCCCAATTATGGATAACCAAAGTTCCCGTAAATTAATACAACTGTATGTTACAAAAGAACTACTGTGGAATAGCAAAAGTTCTTCGTATCATAATAAATCGCTTAGAGAAGATGCTTGGAGAGAAATCAGTAGTGAAATGGAAGTCCCTATGCTGGAATTAAAGAAAAAAATGACTGTGCTCCTATCATCGTACAGAAGAGAAAAATAGAGAGTATCTAAAAGCCAAATCACTGGCTCTGGTAATTATTAAACAGATATTTTGAAAATGACAGTTTTAAAGATTTAGCTGATTTTGGTTTTGAAATATTTGTACGACTGGCTTCCATGATGAAGGGTCGAACACTGGAAGTTGCCACGCGCGCCAGGCGCGCTTAGTTGATATACTTCAAATATTTGGAACGCGTTTCACGGAACGCACTCTCGGTGCGGTTATTCATGGCGCGCGTAATCGATACCCAGCTTAAGGGTTTGAAAGATCGATAGTAGCCGATTCTCAGACTTACTGAATATGCATAAAAAATTCATAAGAATCGGTCGAGCCGTTTCGGAGGAGTATAGGAACAAACATTTTGACACGAGAATTTTATATATTGGATATAGATTATGTTGTTTTTCTAAAAAAAATGCCTTTTCTGTTCTTTTGGTTCCTAGTTGAAATAATTGTTTTGTTTAAAAGTCTTCGTTTGTTTCGCATATAGGTCCCGTTTAGGGGACTTATATGCGAATATAGATGCTTATTATTAATGATTTTATTCAAAATTTTTAAATCATAAGTTTTCATCGACGTTTAGGCTTTATTGATGTATGACCATACCATTATATGATTTTAAGCTTGAGATATTTAAATGTATAAAGTGTAAAATAATCACCTGATTATAAGCAGAAAAATTCATTAGAACTGTAGCTCCATATGACGTTAGAACCAAAATGACTCCGACCACAGCGTTATTGATTGCAAAGTCTTGAACGGCCTGAAGAAACACGTCCCCTTGTGGATCCCCAGCTATTACAGAAATCCCAAACTCCACCATACTTTGTAGAAGTGAGGATATAAGCAATGTGTTCAAAGGTGTCATACAACCGGAAATAATTGAAAATAGTATTCCGACTACGATAAACAATTTGTCTTGTGTCGAGGCAAAGCGAAACTGAAAGAAAATATGAATTGTTACTAATATCGTTTATTGAAGTGAAACTTCTTTAGGCGCATGAGGGTAATTTTTTTAAAAAAACGGCACGAAGATGTGCAGCTTTTTGTCGAAGAAAAGGCAGAGACCGATTGAGAGAGAGTAAAAAGAACGAATTACCTTAATGAAATTCCATTAAAAAAATATAATTTGTATTAATTTTCGACACTTAATATTTTAATGACAATTAAATTCATTAAATTCCTAACATATCTTCCTTTTTCCCTCCCTCTAAGTCTCTTAAATCTAAAGTTTTAGATTTGTATAAATATGAACAAGACTTAAATATTAGTTTGCCAAAGAAGTTTCACTTCTGACATGTGTAGGTACTAGGTACCTACGCACTTTTTGTTTATCATAATCGACTCCTGCATTCCATTAGTTAATCATTGCGTTCAACCGGAGGTTCGATGTCCTTAGAAATTACATATTTCGAGTACGCACCAGATCAGATCCACTAACTATAAAGGATTTTTTTTTCTGCCAAAGCATGTCTGTTATGCTCTATAATAGTCAAAATTTAAAGTTTTACAAAATTCGTATTCAAGTCCTACTATATTAAAACCCATCAAAACTGTTTAGTGACTAAAGGACGCGTATTGCTTGATACGATAAAGAATATTTTTTCATACTTACAAGGGTAATAAATGAGATTCCGGGAACTTCAGGAGCAGGAGGCTCTGATTCAGTTTCACTGTTCGAAAAGAAATAGATGTCAAAATGTGCGTTTTATGAGTAAAATTTTGTGAAAATCAAGTATTAGTATTTAATATCGCGGGTTTAATAATAATATACATACTTACTATTACATCTACTATAGGTAGTTTAAATTAGGTATATAATATCACTTAACGTACACGCATTACAATGAACAAAATTTTGCTACAATTATTGAAGTTATACTTCTTTGGACGCGTTATGAAAAATTTATGAGTCAAATTTAATTTGTGTAAAATTTATTTTGTGTCACGATGCGCGCGCACCGTGACACAAAATTATCAGTATGGGCGCCGAGCGTGCGCGAGCGAGATGGAATAAGACAATCTACAAGTAAAAAGAAATAGAATATGCGTGACGTTAGCAGCTATGCCAAGAATTGAATGACCATAATGACATTTGTAGTACCTTTTAAACAAATAAAGGAGTTTTAATTATTTTTTCAAAGAAATTTAGCAATGCTTTTTCACAAAGACCTATTGTTACTTAGTTAAAAGGTTATGAAACATACCTAGTTATTAAAATGAATTAATAATATAATAAAATAATAAATAATGACTATTATTAATATTAATTAATAATTGAATAATATACTAAATATTGTTAAATTATTAACGCTAAATATTTATTATTAATTATTTAATATTTAAAAAAAAATAAAGAAAGCCAAAGAAGTATAACTTCTTACGCGCGTACATAAGTACACGCACCATTTTTTTTTATGTTCACTGTTATAGTGAGATATTTTTCATTTTTTTTATTAGCAAGATCGTCGGCAGCCGATTGTCAAGGGTACAGGCCGCAGGGGTATTAGAAGTAGGTACAGAGAATGAGAAAATAATAAGTTGTATAAAGCAAATGATAACTTCAACGTGGTACGAGTATAATATAATAACTAGGATTCATAAATAATAATAATAAATTTTATAATAATAATAATTTAATAATACATAATAATTAAAATTAATTAATAAAAAAAGTTTGTCCGATTCTCTCGTCATCAGTAGGTACATGTCTCCCAGGCGACACCATTGTTTGACAAAAAACTTTGGTAAAAGAATCACTAATTATTTAGATATAATTTTCATTCATAATTGCCAAACCTTACTTTCAACAACTTTAATACAATAAAATTTTAATTACTATCATTTATTGTTTTATTTCAATTTACGAATAAATGTTTTTGTTGAAAAAACCTTTTACTTAACTAATACCAAAACCTTCGAACTGCAATACCGACCGAATTTTATTTATCAAATTCTATCATCCATATTATGTTATCATAAAAAAAAATTGTAAATTACTAATCAATCTGAGTAATATATCCTACAAAATTCAATATTAAAGGAAAACCATCAAAAATAATTTAATGATAATTAAAATGATAAATCTGTACGATAACGTTTCTGATTCATATATTATAATTAAAATGACAACGCTTTAATAGAAATAAAGTAGGACCAATGTTTGTTCGCTTACGAATTGTAATAGAATGATTGCTTGGAAAAAAATAATAATTAAACGTTATTCGAAGGCAATTAGCTTAATTATTTTAGTAGTCTTGTAGCGATGTGTCATACATTTTTGTGGCTATACTAGTCGAACAGTTATAAACAAACAGGGGCCTACCATAAACTTTCTTAAAAATATCCAGTTGAGATGCTCATGAGTTTAGGTTCCTAAATTCAATAGCATTTTTTCGTACCATGACCTCCTAGAAACTGAAAGGTATTGAAATCGCAAGACCGAACGAAAGAACGATAATTTTGTTTCAAGTGTCTATGTAAGTTTTAAAAATAAATAAAATATGAAATTATTTTAAATAACTCATCAATCACAATAAGCTATTATGTCTTAATATATATATATATTTATTTAATATAAAACTATAATTTTTATATATTTTAAATGTAAAGTTTTCTGGTGCTATGATGTTCACACTTAATATTTTTAAACGATTCCGCCAAATTTTGATAGGAGCTTTCAAAATTTTAGTTTTACTGTTAACAAAAACGTTTTTTCTATATTAGACATAGTACTTACATCTTATTATTTTTACTTCTTGAACTAGTTTTAATTAAAATATGAAATTTTATATAATATTAAGTATAAACTATTATTTGGACACTTCGATACAAAAACGTTGAACAAAAAGAAACTTTTTTAGAATCGCTTATTGTGTCATAGTTTGAAGGCGAAACAGTCATATTTTGGTCATGGTACGAATTTTCATACAAATTGAATAAACTAAATCTAACTATCGTTAAAGTCACGTGGAAATATGAACTGATGGTAAGAATAAGCGATGCATGTTGTAGGTTGTCAATAGGTTCGCAATAAGAGCTCATGGTAGACCCTCAGTACTAAACTTGGTTGAACTTTTAAGCTTGTCATATAAGTTTACTTGTCATAAGTACAGGAAAGTCTTGACGAGAACAATTTTAACTGGTTAAAATAATCGGATACTATTTTATTGTATCTACAGCGTAATTTCGCAGTGATGCGAAAATTACGATAGATAATTATCACGTAGATATCGCAATTGATCGCCCAAAAATAAATACTTTTTTTACTGACCACTAAATTCGCGTCGAAAGTCTAGTTTAGAGAGCTAATTGTCGTAATAACTTTCTGAAACGTTCTCAACAGATCATTATTATAAATTTCTTTACGAATCCAGTCTGACTTGTCGAAATCGTAAACGATTTATAAAAGTATTTGCATTTATTGATTGACTCACCCTTTGGCTCCATTTTTCGTAAACTCCACTTGAGACAAATCGTTAACTTTATAACTATTCCTTGCTTTTTTTAAATCCGCCATTTTTATAATTTCGTTTTACACGACGCGCGTACCGAGTACCGACCACATTTGCAGTCTGGCCAGTTATCAATATTGATATACTTGTATCATAAGATAAATTAATGCTTCATATCTGGAGATACAAATTGTATTGATGTAACAAAGATATCACACACGTACAATATACGCGGTAAAGGATAAAAATAGTTAAAACACATATGTGTAAAGCAGGACTCTGTCTTTGACGAAGTAATATGTAGTGAGCAAATTATTTAGATGCCCGAAAATAGATTTGTAAACACTACGATAATTTAGAATAAGTATTAAACACCTTGCGCTGATACGCCCAAAAGATTCCATAAAATTATACGTGGGACGTTTCCGCTGAAAAAAGCACATGGGCATTCGTTTTTTTTGCCAGCTAACCAAATTCCAATGTCTAATCACTAAAGATAAAAAATTATCATTATCACGACCTATTGAAAAGACAAAATCGTGTATGTTTTTCATAAGTTGCTTCACTGTTCTACGATAAACGGGATGTATGAGCATGTCGGATCGGGTATACAGTGTGTACTATACACAATTTATATCTAATTACACGATCTAGAAGCCCTGTTAATGGGTATCTGTAGGTCATTCAAGGACACGGTCGATAGACTTACAGTTATTAATAATGGTTATGCGGTTTTATCTTAAGTGTTTCTAAGGGCCGATTTACATTATCTAAGTGTTTAGGAGAGTATTTTAGTACAAGTTGAAAGGCAAGTTCTTTAGTGCCTTGTGAACGTTTAAATTTCTTCCAGTAGAGTATCATTACAGCGCCACAATGAACGCGCAACGACGTCGGCAAATACGCTCTATTCTATGCAAAATACTAACTGTAGTTATGGAACAAATAGAAGACGAGATTTTATTCGAAATAAATACACTAAATATGAATAATAAACAAAATAGCTTCTTTTAAGGCAGTGTATGCCGAATGCCTAGCCTATTTGTTTTGGTATAAATTGTTTTTAACGTTCCACAAACATTCGTGAACAATATATTCAGACACAAATTTGATAGTTGTATCTTCCGACCATTTAGCCATCTTTAAAAATCAAAAAACACGCACGCGTTTCACGGCACTTGTGCACTCTCCTAAAGATTGTACTAAATTACGTGTTTACACACAACGAGGGAAGATCTCGGGGGTTGCGCGGGCGCGGGAGGGGTATCACTTGAATCAAAAATAAAAAGCGATTCTATTTTGATTCAACTTGAAAGTCAAGTAGAACCGTACTAAAGCAAGTAGCGTTTACATGTTTCAACTAAAGTACTATCCTAAAGCACTCTCCTAAACACTAAGATAATGTAAATGTGCCTTAATACCCAAACTTTTGCATTTTATTGCTAGGATTTTACATAAAGATGCTACCAGTACGGGTCCTAATCCATTCTTCATAATAATCCATCTATAGTAGGTCTCCGTCTTTTTCACTTATCATTACGTAAGTGAGTAATCTAATCCAAGAAAAAGATATTTATTCTATTTCAATAATTGTAAATCGTCTCTAGTTTTTTTATGGGACAGAATGGGAGCAGTCGGCTCACGTTGAATAAAGGAATAACGGCCACCCGTGGACACCAACAACGCCGGGGCTAGCGTGTGTGACTGATCTTTCAGGGAATGGTACGCTCTTTTTTGAAGGCTCCTTAGTCGTATCGGTTCGGAAATACCTCTACTGGCAGCTGATGCAACAAAGAGGTGGAAAGAAACTGGAACCCCATGCGTAACATATTTAATATAATATTACACATTTAAATTCTGTATAATAAACGACTGATCTACAGTCGAAATATATAAATTCGTGTTTATATTTGTTAAAGAATTTTTACGTAAACTTAAGTAAAAATGGTATTTTAAAGTTATTGTATTTCATGCGTTAGTTATATCATAGCTTTCTTATTTAATGATAGTACTTTAATTTTATTCAAATACAATTTCTGAAGTTAAAATAACGGGTTTTTAGAATAACAACAAAGCTACACAATAATAATTTAGGTGCAAGAGTTTACATTATAAAAGCATCGGTTAATTGCGATTCGAAAAAATATTCCATATATTTTAATTTGTTCTAATTAACATTTTGTAATAATATAATTGTATAAGTTACGACTATCGAAGTCATGGATCCCAATAGTGAGTAGTCGATACGAACTAGGTTGGACATGCAGAATTCCACTGGTCTATGTTGTGTGAGGAGACGGAGTTCGTTTAAAGCTGATTTTACATCATCACCTGAAAAAATTAAGGGATTTCCGAGAAATTCATAGCAAAGCGAACTGTAGGAGAAGCTTTCATTAGAGTATTTTAGCTAAAACACTGCTAAAAAGTATCTAAAAACATCTTAGTTATTGCACGTGGGTCTGAGAACTACGGCTGCGTATCAACTAGGTACATTTTTTGGAATTCTAAGAGAGCGTTAAACTTTCATATTTATAATAGATTTAACCTTGTAGATGAAGTCAAACATTGGGACAGTCAGAGTTTTATTCTAATAACGAAATCTTCATTCCTTTCAGATTGTAGAAAACTTACTGGGTTCATTGAAGACAAGTGCGTGATCGATTATATTGATAAATCTCTCCCGTTGCCCATACACCAGTTCACAATGTCTAGCAAGGCTGCCAACGATAATCACGCAAGTAAATAGCCTCATTAATGTTGACACCACCGGGAAGATACCCGTCGCATTTCTATGTAGGTGCTACGAACCAATTTATAACAGAACCTTTTTGACATTGACATAATATACATTCTTTGTCTACTTTAAGCCGGAATTATGTACATTACGAAATTAGTGGCGTGAAATTAATTTCGTGACATTATTTTTACCAACAGTTTCACGTGTAATTCTATATTTTCGTAATGCATGCATTCATTTCATGAATGCAAATGACGTGAAACTGCTGTCACGAAAGTGCTGTGGGGACGTATGTATTTTGACGCTAATACATGATGCCATAATAAATTCTTATGATAAAGAGTTAAAACTATTTCCAATTATTTGCTAAAGCGCAGCGTAAGTTTTGCCTTATCTATTTTTTTCAGACATATTGTTAGACACTCTTCTCAGTAAACAAATAATATTATATTCACTCATTCGATAATACTTTTTTTAAGTTAATAGATAAGCATCTTTTTAGCTTCCTTGAATATAGATAAATAAAGCTTTGATGCTGATGGGGCCATGGTTACTGCGATACTGCGAATTTCACGATACTAATTATTTTACGAAATTACTTTCGCATATTATATCGAGACTACTTTCGTGAAACTGATTTCCCATGCATGCCAGTCATTTCGTAATGTAATTCCGGCTTTACTTCTACTTATATTCTGAAACTGTTTTTGATGTTAAGTGTCATCTTATGTTTAAAGATTTATCTCTGAAATTGCTTATAAAAGATATATTTCAGCTGTTACCATGACGTGTGAGGTCGTCTTCTCCTACAAGGTGCTACTCTTATCTCTGTAGAATAAAAGAAACTAGATGGTGCCCGCTACTTCATATTTCGAATTAAAAGAAGATTTTCAAGGGTAGGAATTAATTTAGAGTTACAAAAATAATTTGTTTTTATAATTTTAAACACGTTTAATTCTGCACGTTTTTAAGCGGAAAGCATAACAAACTAACTTATATATGTGTATATATATCTATACCATACACATATATTAAAACATATATGTGTATGGTATAGATTTTAGAGTCTTTAAACCGTTAGTTTTTATAATGCTTTGTGGTATCATTGTTTATATCAAACCTGTGATCCAAGCAATATCCTGGCAGCAATATTTGTAAATCGTATTATATCAATCAATATACTGAGGGTGTTCAGAAGGACCTGAAAATTAATTTAAAAGCTTATCCACATAAAATATAACAATTTGGAATAAATCAATCTTATTCAATTAACCTTAATTTTAATGTATTTATAATGGTTATATAAGTACTTAATAATGAGTCATTATCGGTATCAGAGACTGGCGCCATCTTGACATATACTAATCTTTACAATAATGTTATTGACATAAAATGATTTTCGTCAAATTAAATGCGTCATGCCACTGTTGTACACACAAAAACAACATTTATTCCATGTAGATTGTAGGTATTTGATTAAGGAAAAATTATTCCTTAAAAAATATTGGTAGGTACCAACCCTTGTTCCGAACGCTTGATTGACGAACCCTGCTAGTTCAATTACCCAGACGTAGCATTTACGTAAGCATTTCACTACCTCAACATTACTATTCGTAGTTCCAACTGAAATTATTTTTATAGCAGATTCATTACCGCTTCTTTCCCGATATGAACATTTCAGTTTATTACAAAGAGATTCTGCTGCGTCGCCGATAGCACGGAGACGAAAGTCTATATGCGTTAGATGCACCGTCATATCTAGACTAGTTATAATTTTTATCAGGACAAAAATGTAGGATATTGAAAATGCCGACGCTGTTTTCCAACCGGATGAATCGAGCCAAGCCCAATAATCGCCTGCACAGCTGATCGTCCATATAAAGCCGTAAAGTATAAGAATCTTTCGCAGCTTTCCGTACAAAACTCCACAGTACTTCATTCCAAGTACCTCATCCAATTTCTCGTATATTTTGTAATATTCTTCTAAAGAATTGCCGCATCTATATACAATATACAAATCAACGATATATTGAAAAAAATCAAATATTACTTGCACTGCATCTGTGTACATTATCGAGACCACCACATCGTGATATGTATATAAAATCTTGAAATATAATGTCAAAGCATCAATGGACCCAAGAATAAAAGCCGGTAAAATGAATCTTAGTATCGATAACACTGTATACTTTTTTTGTTCAAACCTGTCACAATTTAACGAAAACAATCTTAGAAAAGGATTTAAAATCCCAAAAGATTTCTTGATGTATTCAACGCAAGGTAATCGATGTTTTGGTATCATTCTTTATAAATTAATTGAGAACAGTTTTAACAAAAGCCAGGTGGGTTGTGTGTGGTTTGGGCAATAGAAATCGAATGAACAACGGCAAAACCAATTACATTAATAGAACTGGCAATTACTTTCACGATATGAACATTTAATTGCATATACTTCAATAAAGGCATTACTAATTACAGCTTAATTATAGTGTCATTTAGAAAAATACCGATTAACTTAATAAAATTAAAATTACTTACCTCGAAGTAAGTTCGGTGGCGGTTTTTGTATGGAGATGTTTAAATAAAACTCTTTGTTTGAAGCTGGGGACAACTGAGTTTAAAGGTTTAAAATATGAGATTATAACTAACACAAAATTATGGGGTAGAGGGGTTGCGACGCTAACAAAAACAAACTTGGCTTATCTTTAGGGTTAATTAATCTAAATGACACTTATGTTATTGGACATTGTGTGTTAAAAACTAAAGGGCTCAATACTGGCTTCAAGTGTACTATGATTGTTTACGCTTCTATTATTACCTAAAATATTAAAATGTAACTTAACTAAAGTTAGGTTACATAACCCCCGTTTAACTTTAAATAATATGCATAAGTATGAGAGCCATAGAAAATCTAATAACGCTGTACTGAGATGAGGTTAGACTAAAAGTTATAGCTTGTCTATTATGATCAGACATTCTTGAAGGGTGGTAACGATAAGCGGTGATCATTATGTGATGTCCCGAAATGGGGCATGGGGTAGATACCTTTTTTAAGTCTGTTGTATTGATAATTTTGACGAAATATTGTTATTTTTGTTTGCATCCATCTACTGTTCATTTAACAGCTACATATCACATCATGCTGGTATTTTGAATAAAGAAACTTTAGATATTTAAGTTTCATATTTCTCAGTACCTCTATCTTTTTTTTTTTTAATTCGGTAAAGAAATGTTTATTTGTGCGACTGGTATTTCACAGATCAGAGCCCATACTCTGTAACTTCCAATAGTCAATAGCGACAGTGATTCCGATCACAATAAGTTTTTGTACCACGAGATCCCAAGGTTGCGACATCAGCGCTGAATATCTTGACAGAAAACCAAAACGTCTAGATCGATATCGCTATTGGAAGTTACAGAGTACATGTGAGTTAAACATGTGCAGATGTAGGCACTTTATAAAAAAATAGCTTAATTTACTCACCTATTTTTTATTAATCCTTAAAAATAAATACTACAGAATATATTAATAAACATATGGACATATTTTCAAGAAATATGATTAAAATTAAGAAAATATTTACTAAAAAGAAATAGATAAGAATCAAGCGTGTACATTGTTATGGCAAACAATTATCAGGTAATGCAATAATTTTAAAATTAATAACACAATCTGTCTCTTTTAGTTTAATCTGCTTATTCAGTGGGTTTAATTAATCCCGAGGTCCAAGCTTGGATCCCATAGATGCAATATTTTTTTCTGTTTGGGTGGCTAAACATTCTATAACTAGAACAGATTTGAAGCAATATGAGACTGAAGTTGTATATCAGTGTGTTTGATTAATTTGTCACTGTTATTTACATCATAGCAAGGTATGCCTGTAGCAAAACTTGGAATCAATGCATTATATAAAAATTTAAAACCAAAAAAATAAAGCAATAAATAATTGCAACAAAACAATTGAATCTTGTTTATTCATTGTTTATCAAGACTATTTTACAAGATAAATCTTGTCCAACATACATAATATTTCAAATTCGGAACAAATACACAGTACTTTGTGTTCCGTTTGTATACACATTATTTGCACTTAATATTACAATAACAATCACCTGCACCGTCTCCGCTTACTGCTTACTTCATCACTATCCTTAATTTTTTTAATAGAATACTTATTTATAAATAATTCTTCATAGACAGCACTACTGCAACTTGGGCTTAGAAATTGTGAAATATCATTGTATAACTGTCTCTTATAGGTCTCTGGATTACCATTGGCACTTGCTTGTATGGACACAGTCTTATTTTCTGACTTTGATTTTATTGATTCTTTCATTTCTTGAATTTTTTGTGAATTCTGATCAATTTTTCCTAATAATCTATTTTCCATTTGTTGCAATCGATCTTCTAAAAACTTTAAGGTGTATTCCTGAACACTGGGCAGCTTTGGTTCAGTTGATAAATAGGACGACACTTGTGTTGACTCCTGACCTTTTTTTGGTTCATTCTTCGCTTGATTTTTATATTTCAAGACTTTTACAATTTTTGGAGGGGATTTCTGTTGTACGTTATTATCCAATGCTATAACGGCATCAATTAATTTCTTATTAAATTTCCTCTTTTTTTCTATCACAGCTAATCTTTTCGGACTCACTCTGCCTTTTGAAGGTGACACTGACTTTTTGTTATCATTAATAATACACACTTCTTTTGGGTTTAGAATCAAATTAGATGGTATATTAGTATTTCTTTTTGATTGGGTGTCAAATTTGTCTTTGTCTTGTAGAACTTTAATTCCAGATTTATTTTCTTGAGGTAATAAGTTATTGAGGCACAACATTGTTGTATCAGTTTTATTGGGAATTGTATCCACTGGGTTTTCTGTCTTTTGAATTTCTTGCCTATTAGTATCCCCTGTTATACTTGGCAAACATTTCTGTTTCTTTCCATTGATATCTATTGTATATAATGGTTGTGCATTATTTGTTTGGAGTTCATTTGAGGATAATGATTGTGGTATAAATGGTTCATTTATAATTATAGAATTTGTTCCTAATAGATTCTCTCGTGGTTCATTTACTTCTAAAGTATACACTGAAGAAGGATGGTCGAATTTTAGAGAGTTTAAATTTAATGAGTATGAGGGCTGTTCATTTTCTAATGTTTGATATTGTATATCCAATGAATATTGGGGTGGTTCATGCTTTTCTACATTTAAATCTACAGGATAAACCAAGTTTTGTTCTCTAGTAACTAAAAAATTTCTTTTAACAGGGTGAACACTAGTTTGTGTTCCATTACTAATAGGTACACTTATTTGGTTATCCTTTTTTTGCAATTTAATAACTGAACTTGGTGATATAGGCTGAAGATTTTTGGGTATTGATATAGCATCCTTAATTTTCTTCTCTGATAATATCTTAACCTTAGATGCTTTATTTACAGGAGTTGATGATGTTGTTATTGGTTTACTTTTCATATAACGACATTCTGTATTCACTTTAATTTTTCTTGGCTCATCTTGCTGTTTATTACTTAATAAAGGCATTGTAACCTCTGTCAAAGGAAATTCACCTTGAATTATTGGTTTTTCTTCACTGGGGACTACATTATCTTCTATAATTATTTCTTGGACTGTTATTTCTTTACTTGTTTCTTTACTGCTTTTATCATATGGATTAATAATAGCAAATGGAGAGTTATTTGGTTGAAACACTAATCGATCACTAAATTTCCGTATGTTCCGATCAGCTACATCATAATCCTTACAGTCCAAGCTAAATGAATCTATATTGGTACTGTTTAATAAATCGGATTCAAAGTTTGTTAAGAAGTCTGCATATTTAATAGAGTAGTTAGCAACTTTTTGGTCATGTGTTAAAACATCATTCTCTATTTCATCTGTTAAGAGAGGCAATACTGAACCTATATTTTGATCTTTTTTCCACTTTGTAGGATCACAATATGGACCATCTTCTGTTGGAATTGCATCCATAGTCAACTTCGCTTTCTGTAAATGTAAATTAATCTATTGTTAGAAAACTAAATTTTCAGTATAAGGTTCTCATAATTGTTTGTAATTAAAAGAGGTTTACATTTGCAAGTCATGTTAATGTAAATCGGATTACCTGGCAGTTCATAAAATTGTCATCCTTGAAATGATGTTGGCAAACAACTCTGTTCTTTAATTGGGATACTTTAAGGTTTAAAAATTCATAGCGACGTGCATTGATGATCCACTGGTGACATCGAATCTTGTTAAACACAGGGTAGTGAAACATATGAGTTTTTCCATCTGTTTTCATAGTGCAATTTCTGTATGTACATTTACAGCCACCCATCGTTTCCTCTGTAATTTATAAAACCCAAAATGTAATATCATGTGCGTAAATTGAATACGTATGGATGTTTAAATAGGTAAGAGTTCCCTTTTATGCTTGCTTTACCTTTAGAAATGGACCGAAAATAAAGATTGAAATAGTCACGTATTAATTAATAAATTAAAATTTCTTAATACAATCTATATCGGCATTATCAATAAGGGTTGTTAATTTATTAAATATTGTCTAAATTTAAATACACAGTTTAGAATTGCGATTTTTCTAACTAAATAAACAAGCTCTAAAAGATCTCAATATTTATCACAGAATACAGATGTCATTTTTATTTCTCAAACAACAATCCAGCGACCATAGACATACCACACTCCACAGATTAAATAGGAGTAGGATACACTATAATTTTAATAGAGTCTGTTCGGAAAGAGAACCAAGTAGTTTTTGACTTTCTACAATATACACTACTGTTAAGGCATCTTGACTAAGGCCCATGGTCGCTGCAGTAAATTACCTTTTGTTATGTTTACCCTTTGTTCTGTTACGCTATTATAGTTCGGCAGCAAAAGTAAAGTAATATATATAAAATTTTTTGTGAATAAATAAAATTACGCGTTTGCTACAGATAAGAATTAGTTTTTAGTTTACATATAATATAACCGCTACTCTCCGGCTCTCATTCCGCACATACTGTGCGTTTTCCAATTACAGCACTAGAGCGCATTTTGCGGCATAATGCTCAACGTTGAGTGTTCCAACTACAGCAACGCTTCGCACAATTGAGCACTCTCAAAACGAATGCTCTCGCGTGCTTCTCGCAAACAATACCAACACAGTGACAGAAAATTGACCAGTATTTTTCTTTAAGTTGGCATTTATCGAAATTTTCGTTAGTAAATATTATTTATTGTTGAAAAATTTGTAAGGCTTTCGTTTCGTCGTAGATTTTGAAAATAATTAAAGTTATTTCAAACAGCTAAAAAAAAAAATATTAGTATGGATGAAGGTATAAATAGTTACTTTTTTTATATTCCACATTTAAAATATGAATACAATTTTATTTTAAAATTCGGATCTGTAAACAAATTTATTTTACAGGATTATACTTTAGAAAAAATTGCAATGGTTTTGAAAAAGTATATAATTTTTTTAGAAATCATTAAAAAATATTACTCAAAATGTAAATGATGTAAACTTCATACATGAAACTAAATATTTTACTGTTAATTTAGCTTGTTGAAACCTTATATTCTTTAAAGGTTTTCTATTATTTCAATAAAAAAAATGTTAATGAAATAATTTGATGATTAAAATAAGCGTAAAAAGTTTTCAACCAATTATTATTGTGTACCACATTATTTATACATTAACGAGGTTGCTAACTCAATTCATAACATTTTTTTTACAACACTGACTTAGCGCACTCTGCTGATGCATTTGAAAACTAATTCACGTTCCAATTAAGCTTCAGCATTATGCGGCATTGTGCGGCACTGAGTAGCATAATGCTCTGTAATTGGAAAACGCACACTATATATATGCTGTTACGGGACCTCAACTACAAAGTACTGGTAGTATGTTCTAAAATAATAATTCAAGATCTGACGAAAAGCGGTTTTGTCTCAAGCCCCAAATTTATAAACACACACACGTTTTGATACACTTCAGCCCAGATAGCGCTAATTCTCGTTTATAAATCTTACAAGAAGCAAAACATACGTTAAAACGACGAATGACGACGATCGACCGTTACAAGAAATCTATATTTATTAGGTTTAGTCTATAATAAAATAGAACTCTATGGTTTAAATTTACAACTTAGTCAGTGCCTAACAGTAGGTATGAGAACGTCAAAAACTAAATTTGATGAAAACTTTTCGACACGAACTGTCATTTCCATACAAATTTAGTTTTCGACTTTCTACATACACTACTGTTAAGCCATCTTGGCTGCCGTATACCAGGCCATAAAATTAAAAAAAAAAAAAAAAAAAAAACATATCTGTATATGTTATAATAATCCCTATAATTGACGTAAAGGTTGTAAATGCTAGGTCATAAAATCCCAACAAAAAAAAATAATCCCTACAAAAAAAAACAATTTTCTTTGAAAAATATGACCGTTCGATAATTCTTGCGAAAGTAATAATAGTAACTATGAGAGAAGAAACACGGTAAGCCTACGAATTCTATTTTTGTCACTAATACAATTATACAAACAGCGTTTAAGTATAATCCCATGATCCTTTTTTTACAGGAATGGTCAGCATAAACTAAAGACACCAAGTATTTCTTATTTCACATTGGTAAGATTTTGTATGTTTAAAATACTCTTATAATGCAAAAAGCATTAGAAGTAAATCGATAGTTCTAAATCTATTAATATACCGTTTAGAAAATCGCAAAAGTAATATGACCTGAAATATGTAAATACAAAACCACTAGTAGTATGCCTTCGTCGAAGTAGAATTAAGACAAAAATAACGATCTAACTATGTACTAATAATAACTTTCGAGGTTTAATATACCCCATTTAAAATTATTATACAATTTAAAATATAATAATTGTGCAATAGTAAAGAGAAGACACTCTCTGCATGCTGTAAATTTTGATTTTTTTATTGTTTCAGTTCAGATTTGCTACGAAGCAAGATTGTATTTTAATTACAATTGGTTTATTGGCGAGTTTTATATCTGGAATATCTTTGTCCTATTCCATCACATTAGTTTCCAATGGCTTCCAGTCAATGATCAATTACGCTAAGGCAGATAAAAGTGCGGAGACTGAAGCGTATTTTTTAAATGAAATCCAAGATTTTGTACGTAAATACTCGTGTGTTGGTGGTTTATTACTGCTAGGAGGTTACTTGGGAACTGCGCTGATGAATATTACGGCTATTCGTCAGGTAGGTATAACATTTTTTTAATTTAATCTATTAACATACGCCTAGTGGGACTGCCATGCTGTTGCTTTCGGACTTCATCGACCAGTCAAGTGATGCAATAGGTTTACCTAATTGCGGTGAGTTCTCGGAGACCATCTCCCTTCCTCTACCTAAGGAATATAAAGTTTGGATTCGCGATTATTAGGACGCGCTCGCGGTGCAGAATTCCTTGACGTTGCGTAGAGATATGAAAGAAGAGTTGTTCGGGTTATTTAATTGTAATACGAAATTCCACCCGTATCACCTCTTCGTCCGTCGATACGCAACTGAGCGTTTTTTTAAGGCAGTTTTTACTGCGCACCACCATTATGTGGAACCAGCTGCCTACCGATGTATTTCCGAACCAATTCGATTTAGAGGTTTTTCAAGAAAAGATCGTACAAATTCTTTAAATGCCGGCAATGCACTTGCCCTCTGGCAATGTGAATGCGGCGGCGGCGGCGGTGTCAACTAACATCAGGTGAGCCTCCTGCCCGTTTGCCCACTGTTACATTAAAAAAATACGCACAATCTGATGACAGTTAGGACAAAAAGTCTGGTTTCCAGGGTTCAGCCTTCAGATAGATAGTGGCATTTCTTTCTGGTTTACGATTAAGATTTAATTTTTTTTTTCGTGTGGAAGAAGTCACTTCGATGATCGTTACTTACCTACGTTTTGTAAATTTACTTTGACCATACGACCGTGTAAATTATTTTAATTTTAATAATTAGATTTTGATTTTACCCTTATTAGTAATAAAAAGCAATTACTAATGATTGGTCACAAAGTTGAAAGATAAGTTACAAAGTGTTTCGTTAATCCATACGAATTTTGATATATTTGACCGAGTTTACAAAAATTGCAATAAAACCTTGGCATACATAAATTACTAATCAGATTTTGATTAACTTTTACATCCGTTTGATACGGTATCTGTATCATATTAGCTATGCTTTAAAGGATGCATGACTAAAGTATGTATTTAACGGTTTTCTATAGGTACTAAAGCTAAGGCAAGAATATTTGAGAGCGGCATTAAATCAGGACTTTGCTTACTACGATCTGCACCATACCGGGGACTTCGCTTCAAAGATGGCAGAGTAAATAATTCCGTATGTTAATAAAAATGTATCATTGTATATATGAAAGTTTATATAAAAAAATGTGTCTATATACGATCTGGATAATGGCTTATCACTTAATTATCATTAGTATCAAGTATGTGTCTTGAAAGATATCTATATTTATTATCTTTAACCCAACAACAGCGTTAAAGTATACATAATAAATTTATAATTAAAAACGTTAAATGTCCTAACCATATCAAGTACCTACTACAGCCTATTTGGCCTTGGTCTTGCCAGAAAACTGCTTCGGCAGCCATCAAGGTTGCTTTTATAACCCTCCAGGTAGTCTCTCGTTAATTTGGACAACATGTTCACTGTTCAGCCCATCGTAACCCCTCAAACTTAAGGTTTTCACGACGTCAAGTTCGCCATGCAGCTGGAATAGCTCATGGTTATATCTACTTCGATGATTGATGATTTCCGATTAAATGTGATGTGACCCAGTGTCTTTTCAGAAAGTTTTAGCATACTATACTACTTTAAACCTTTTGTCCTAAAATTTCCTAAGCTGTGATATCTGATAAGTACGTAAAAAAACGTGTTTGTACTTATGTACACGCGTTAGAAGTTATACTTCTTTGGCGTATCAAGATAAAAATCTTTTCCAAAACTTTATTCTTCGTTTGTAGAAGAAACGACACTAACAATAGAAAAAAGTGTTTAATACATTGGAAGTTTTATTATAACGCATTATCTAGTTAAAGTAGATATAAAGTTTATTTAAATATCTCAAAATAAAATGTTGACTGTAGCTAACTTCAGGGTATCGCTTTATTGTCGTCATTTTTCTCTAACGCGCCAAAAGAAGTATAACTTCAAAAATATATTATGACCTTATTCAAAAATGTAGACAGGGGAGTCCGTATGCGTATACAGATTGAATAAAATATTAATAAGCTTGTTTTATAGAATAGCTCTTCTATTGAGAAGTCTAATTTTAGAGCAATGTGTAAT